TGAATTTAATTGCTTCCAGACACGATGCCGGCAAAGGGGGGTACAAGGTACTGTAACTACACAAATACACCCTGAGAGACTTATGATGGAGATTAATTCTTATGAGTCACTATGTCTGGAATAACTGAATTAATTATGGCAAAGGCATGAGCAACACCATCACACTGAGCACTGACCCATAATCTCCACTGAAAATCTTTCAACTTGAAAGTTGCCCTGAGAATGACTTTTGGTTTGATCTGCAGCAACATTAAATAATGTGACAGCAATATGACAGCCCTCTACTGATATCAGCACAAATGACATCTCCAGGATTGGGTTTCACTTGCTATTCATAAAGCCTTTACTAAGTTAGTGTGAGTAGTCCTTCCTAAGTTTCTAGTAACTACTTGCAAGTTTCAAGCTAGTGATTTACTGAACCGGGTTGCACCATTAAAACTTAAGAAATGTCTAAGCTTGTTGTGAATGTGTAATTCACATCCAATCAAAAGCAATCAACTGTGTAAACAGGAAGTCATTGCAGCATCACAAGCACTTCCAAAAATAACAGTTTTAGTCTCCCAAATTATATGTTAAACTGACAATATTTTGTAAACGTGTGTATTCATTCATGGAAGCATTTCAGCATAAGTAGTGTTAGTAGGAGGTAAGTATGAGTGAAAAATGTCTGATTGCTAACGTAGCTGACGCTAGTTAGTGTGACATTAGTAGAATCAAGTTTTGCAATTAGAGGCTAATTGTGATTTTTGGGGGAAATGTAATTTAAATATTTATGTTTACATCTATGTTAAACTGTTGTCAGGTCAGCTATGTAGAACAGTATTTCACAGTACAGCTTACTCTTCAATACAAACAACTTCAGTGAGCTACTTAACAGTTACACCAGTTCCTAAGTGAAAATATTCAATAACAATTTGTAAAAAATTACTTGTGTGGTGCAACCCTTTTTAATTTAGTATTTGCGTTTGGTTCCACTTATGTTAGAACTTGGCTAAGTTTGAATGTACAAATATCTGGAGCTGGAAATACCATAATGAAAAATATGTGTATTTCTCTCACTTTCCCTTTCTCTTTCCCTCTGACACACAAACACACACCCACACTGAGGCCTCTGATTTCCTGACATTTCTCTACATTACACATTCACAATGACTGCGGCAGATATTTTGGGCTCATGCACTAATGCCATTTGCAGAAGGGAAGACGAATAAATATTTTGTCAAGACCTTGCATTGTGTGACACAGATTAAGTCCTCAGCTTGGATGGCAGTGAACCAGATCAGTGTTTGGCATTTTGTTTTTTCTCCCGGTAAATTTTGATTACATTCTGCAGAGCGTTGATCCAAACAAAGAGTGAGTCTCTTGTTTGGGAGAATAATTCCTGCCTTGTTCCTATCCCATCTGCAGAGAGGCCCAGCTATTAAGCAGTAAGGCATTTAGATGGAAATGGGTTGAACCACACAGAATCAAATGCAAATGTCACATCAACTGATCCATACGCTTGTGCATATGCTGATTTGATGGATAAAAGGCTGCTGTGAAAATGTGCAATTATTTTGGTGCTTAAACTTGATTGGCTGAAAGGAGCAGTGTAGAGAAGATGCCGTCTGACTGTAGCAGAGCAACAAGTTATTATGTGTATATGTGTGAGTTCTTTTTAAATGCTTAAGCTCCCACCCACTTCCCCTTATTCTTTAACACTTAACATAGCAAGAGAGAAAATAAGGAGTAAAAGTGTTGCTTGACATTCCATTGAATTAAGTAATGTCCTGTGCAGATTACAACCTGGACTGCATGTGAAAGACCTTTACCGCTTGTTGTGCACACGCAAACCACATTTAGCTGTTAAAATGGTACATACGTGGTCTCTTCGGTGGTGCATTGTCCATACATGGCAACAAGGAATCAAAAGGCCTGTTGATTATTCCACTAATAAAATAATCAAACTGACCAAACTTCTTTTTTTTGCAACATCCGGTGTTTGTTTGTTTTGGCTGCTGGAGCCATGTGAACACTGATGAGTGTGATTTTGAACTGAGCAACACGAGTAATTTATTACATTAAAACATTACAAATCAAAACCAGACGAGCTGGCAGTGTAGGAAACAGGGTTTGTGTCCAGGGCAAGCCCCTGAGATTCATTTTCAATTATTTCTGATTCCCTCATGTCTGAGCAGCATTGTTGCCAAGAACATATTAGGAAGGAGTCGATGCTGCCATATAGCTGATTAGTTGGTTTTTTTTGTTGTTGTTATGTGTAAATAGCACCGTTGGCTCCGTGTGTAACATTACCCAGACAGACAGACTGACTGAGCCAGCTGATTGTGGTTTGGGCTCAGTCTCAGTCTGTGTGTTAGTGCACCGGGGCTCCCACCATATGCTTATGGTGCTGTGGGTCGAAGTCTGGCACACACATACAGTTCATAAATGATCACTCACACACATGTACACACTATGCAGACAAACAACAAAAAATTACTCCTGGGTCCACTAGCAGCTCAGATGCCCTGCCCAGTCTGTGGAAACAATTTAGACAACAAAACTATGTTGTGGTGGGACTTGTGCCGTAAAGTATATTTAGTGTATATATTGTATTTGGGAATTTTACATGAGGTTTAATACATTAGCAGGCCCCAGGCTGGCATCCAAGCCATGCTAGCACTTAAAATTTGAAATCAGTGTAGTCCATTAGGCACTTTTGACATTGTAAGAGGAATTAGACTACTGGACTGTCTCTTTATAATGTGGCCTTACAGTAGTATACATCATCAAACCACAAGTGGACACGCCCCAATTCTACCAGGCTTTATTCATCACTGCCCCAGACCACAACACCCTCTGAGGTAGTTTATGAGAAATACAGATGTCTGGTTGACTGAAAATAAACAGAGGCAGCCTTGAAACATGAGTGTGCCTTAACTGAATTAGTCCGACATACACACCGTATCCCAGAAGATTGGTAATCAACCCAATCAGTATGGCGTTGTACTCTCATGTGCACCATGAGACACAAGCTTGTACTGGGTTGTGCCTCATAATCACTGAGGAACATCTACCCCTCAAAACATCCACAAGCCTGGTGACTTTCTCTGTGTTTATACTAGAGCTGTGGCTTTGAACGGCCCTATGGCTTTATCCCCTTACATCCAAGGGGATGAGCTGAGGGTTGGTATGGTGAGCAAGAAAGCAGAAAGGGGCCATGTATGATTCTAATCAATTCAGGCCTTGGCTGAAGCAAACGCTCTCTAATAACTTCTGTAGATAGAGCCGACTTGAGAGGGAATGCAAACCAGATCACTTTGGAAATTCCATGACGCTCTCTTCGCAGCAAAAGCCCCTCTTCTGAAGGAATGCGCTCTAACATTTCCCCTGAGCTCCCTGGTCTCCCACACACACAGCTGCCCTTCAGAGAGTCACGCTAGAAGAGTACAGCCGAGTTGGGAGAAGAAAGGAGGAGAGACACAGCGGCTAATGGCTGCTCCCCCAGCTGCATGGGGTCTCACACATATAAACAAGTCAGGAGAGGTTGGGTCAAAGGAGAAAGCACGCAGGAATGGCGATGAAGAGAGGGAGACTACAGGGAAAAATAGGAATAATAGTCTAAAGTGGGACTATAAAGAAAGGAAATACAGAGATAAGGAGAAGGAAAATCGATCTGGGCTGACATGTGTGAGGAAAGAGAAGAAAATGATACAAGAATAGGTCGAGGGAGAGTGGAAGTGGGAGGAAAGGGTTGTTGACGGAGGAGAATGGGCAGTGCTGAGACGTTACTTAAAGCAGCCTCGGGGTGATGGATTGTCTGGGGCAGTTTGGCAGGACCATCCATCAGGTGATGGAAAGTGGTGGAAAGAGATAAATATGTGACACCATAAACACCACCAACAACACCTTCTGAATTACTGAAGATGCTACATATATTTTATAACGATGAATAAAGCTTATGATCCAAACTCATTTGGGAAGCAAGACTTTGCCTTCTGGTAAACTTTGTGTGACCTTCTGCTTGAAAGATTGGTGAACCACAATAATTGTACTATTAAGTAAAGTTACCTTTCTTCTATGGCTGAAGGGAGATTAAGATGTTACTCCTAAAGCCTGGCAGCCTTTCAAGATACATTTTTTCCACCATATGACTAAGCCATGAAGTCTTCACTGTAGGTCCAACAACCCACGGCCAGTCCTGATCTCACTGGAGGCCTTCAGGATTCAGTATGAAGTATTTAAAAAATAGAACATATCCAAATGTTTCTGTGCAGAAGACTGCAGATCTATAAATCTAAAGATCTAATCATTTCAAAGCCTCAGACACTATACAGTCAACCAGATGTTACTGACATTTTATGGCTTTTGAGTAAATCAGTGTTTGGAACCATCAAGTGACATTAGTGAGGATCATAATCTTTGGATTAACATTCTTGCATAGAGGCCAAAGGTGGTGTACTATACAAAAAAATATGAATGGAACTGTCCATGAGTTACTGTCCTCTATGTAGTTTCTTGTCTGGAGAGGACATCATTTTCTATGTTTGAATTTTATTATTCAAAAATAGGCAGGGGCTGCATCAACAAATTCTGTGTTTTTAGCAGGAACTTCGTCTACATTTTTCTCACATACTTTTCTCTTCTTATTTGGACTTCTCTGCCTGGTGTGCATGGCGGGAAAATGGAAAGGGGTGGGGGCGGGTGGTAGAACAGACTGGGGCCCACTGGTCCCTCAACATCCCTGTGTTGAATATGAAAATATATTATAGCATAATGTGTTCAGTATGCAAGCTTGAAGGAAACCATATGAAAAAATCCCAGACAAAGAGCCTTCTGTGTTCCAACTGACCCCCCTTCCACCACCATCCTTCATCTGCTTCAGTTGAGAGAGAGAGAGAGAGAGAGAGAGAGAGAGAGCGAGAGAGGAGAGGTATAAGGGGGAGGTGTGTGGGCAGAGTCGTATGAACTGAAGAGGGGCAGAACACTCATTTGCTGCCTCACACAGCCAGACCCACCGGAGTACAGGTGAGCAGCATGACTCCACCAACACACATCAAACAGGAAGGATTTTTGAATCCTGGAATTTTATCTGTCGCTGTGAAACTGTGTGCTGCATACTTTGTCACCTGCAGCCCATTACATTTATCTTCACGGGGTAAGGTGCTATCTTTGTTTGGAGAAGGAGAGAGAGCGCTGGGGGAATGCAGTGAACTGAAGCAGAAGAGGAGGGAAACTTTGAAAGTCTTTGTTTGAGTAGATGACAAACATCTGTGGCCGCTGTTTTCCCCCTCGGCGCAGGCTGCAGACTTGCAGAGGGGGTTTGGCAGGCTACATTAGCACTGTGGTCACTGATATCCCTATTGTTGACTGTGTGGAGCCTGCTGTGTAGCCAGGTTGTAGACTTGAACTGCACTCTGTAACATTAGAGGGTGTATCCAATTAAAGATCTGGCTGAGCTGTATTGACTTACATATATAAGTAATTGCTTCCTGTTAGCACAACAGGTGAGGCCCATAAACTGCTTTACAGGGGGGCTACTGTAGGTTTTGTTAAACCATATGTCACCATATATATATATATATACAGATGATATCCCTTTAGTTTGCTGTGACGCCCTCCAAGATGATTATCAATGTGATCTCCAAGATAAAGTGCTTTGAAGATGCTTTGAAATGGTAAACAACTGTTTTGTCGAATGTCTCAGTGTGAAGAGAATACCACTGCTAAAAGACAACACCATTCCACAAATAATTCCTGCAGTATTGATATTATATGCATACATTTGACTTCCTTTGATGACTAACAGTTTTCAGATTATGACTCTGATTGTTTTAGAAGGTTCCTCCCTCTTGGCACCGGATCATACACACCTACTTCAAGTATTTATCTTTGTCCCTTGAAGTTCTCCACCTGTGACTATGAGAGTAGGATGAGCCGCACACAAAGCAGACACTTCATTACAAGGTTTTTTCTGCATGATTTATGATTGCACAATTGCTAAAAGAGAACAGAGAAACTGAAGCAAGGAAACATTTGTGACTTTTATTGAAGTGTGTGCCTTGCACTGTTTTAGATGTCAGTCATCAGCCAGCACAAGCCGAGACATGTTGACTATCACAGCCTCCTGAGGAATTATGCACCAGGAATGCCAATTTTGGAGCACTACCTAAAATTATTTCGTAGTGTTGCTAGGGACCTTGAATGGTTCTTTGTCTGAGCAAGAGAGAGAGAGAGAGAGAGAAAGAGAGAGAGCAAAGGGCCTTCCTAAAGCCTTTGGCGTTTATGGGTGAATGAATTTTACTTGCCAAACTGTAAAGGATCCAGGCAAAAGGCAAGAGATAGCAGACACATAACATCTCTGCCTCTAGGTATTCAATCATAAAGCCTTGCCAGTCAATGTTGTAACCAGATGCCTCATTATGAGCTTGGTAACTGATACACCTTTAAGTCTTACAGTAGGTGGAATCCATGCTCACCTGATGTCCACAGATCACACACACCTCAACACATGTGCACCCAGGGCAACTGATGATGTGCAGATGCCATACCTGAGGTGAAAATGCATGCAGTATATGAGTTATGAGGTGGCTGACACGCTTTTCAACAAGTTGGCTATTGATGCAGATGTGTAATAAATGTACAAGACAACGGCCTTGAGGGACAAATGAATGATTACAGCTTGTGTGGCTGCCAAAGCCCTTTCTTTTGCGCGTCATTACTATGCAAACGTGCTGCAGAGAGCTGTGGGATAGATTTGCTGTCTGCGTATGAATCCATCATAAATTGATGATGTACAGGAACTGTGATTACACACTAAAGTAGCCTACGTGCCAGACTGTAAATGATATCCTTGGCTCTAATCATGGAGGTCAATAGGTGTGCGGGTCAATGGGTGTGTGTCAAAAACTGTGCAGGGGTGGGAGCTGAGCGGGACAGGTGGGCGCTGTAAAATTCCTTTTAAACTTCAAGGTAATTGGGGGGTAGAGGAGGGTCAGAGGATGACATCAGATTGTGTGGCAAGAACATATGATCAGTTGTAGCAGGGTGGATAGCGCAAGTTAGTTTGGAAGAAATACAAATGCTGGAACAAGCATGGACCAAAAGAAAACTAAAAAAGATTGTGGCAGATGAGGATTTCAAGAGTCCATATGTCAGTGTTCTGTTATTTTTGAGCCAGAGTTCAGTCTGTATCTCATGTCAATTTTGAGTTTCCTACATCTGTTCTTTGTTTGGCAGTTAATAAATATTTACAGACTGGATCAAAGACAGCAATCAAACCACATTTTAATCAATCCAGCACAGAGGTGTTAGGAGGCTCTCAACACGTGTTCACCTCTGTTCTCACTGATTATGGTAAACATGAAATTGTGGAACAACAAAGACAACCGTGAATAAGATCTAAAAAGACAATGTCAGTCCCCAAATTAGATCCAGATTGATCCAAACACATCTGGGGGAATCAAAGAGCTGTTGTCAGAGTGTCTAAACAATGCCGGCCTTCATCTCTTCTCTTCACGATCTCACGATCACGCCAGTACGATGGATTTTTTGTTTTTGTTGCTTTTCTGCAGGGAAGGGGGGGCAGTGTTTTGTTTGGGTTGTTTGTGTTTGGGGGCCAATGAGCAGTCCTCCTACAGATTGTCATGACTCAGCTGTCATGTCAGAGAGCGTCTCCACAAAACAAAGGCTTCAAGGGATGCAAACAAGTTAACGGAAAGATGAATCTGAGCATGGTCGCTATGCCTCTGAGGAAACAGTGAAAAGGCGTTTTTGAAAATAATGATTGTGCGTGCATAGCCCTTTTGCTCCTGAGTGTTACAGTGGTGCCTCTCGAGCAAAAACAAGTGCATCCGCGATCAGCTTCAAGGAGAGGCAAGTCTGATCAAGGACGTGCAAACACCGGTTTATCATTACAAACTTTGCCAGTGTGTTATATTAGCTTTGAAGAGGGAACATGACACTGCTGGTCCAATGAAATGCCTAATCGGATAAGAGGGAGGGATATGATGGATGCTATACTGTAGGACATTCAGATCTTTGTTTGTCTCTTTACTCCACACTGCATGGACTTTTTCAATCCACATTCACTCTCTGTGTTCAGTATCACATCACAGACCCCGAGGCAGAGATAAAGCAAATTTTCTTGGCTGGTTTAATACAGACTTCCGAACTTAAAGACTTAATGAATTGTGACCTTCCTTTTTGTCTTTGGAGACGACACTTTATCGCTTTCAGCCTTTTATAAAGACATCTCATTTCCTTTTTCCTCCCCTTTTTGCCTGACTAAAGTTCAAAGTGAGGAGGCTGATCTTCTGCATTGCAGACAGAGAAGTGGGCTTTCATTGTCTTGAAAATGGACCTAGGTTGAGATTAATGGTTTTTGGAAGGAAACCAATATTCATTTAAAAGTATTAGAAGAGCCAAGCAGAGTATATTAAAATGTTCTTCAAGCCACTTTCTCAATAAAAAGTTGCACATTTCAATTTTTATAAACTACGGAATCTCTGTCAGCACAAAGGTCAGGTCTTTTGGACCACTTGAAACCATCATGGATAATACTTTAAATCCTGTACAAAGCAGTGGGTTGAAACTTGTGCCATTACACAAAGGGCAATGATGGAAAATCAAGTAGGATTCTTGTACCAGCTGTCTGCCAAACTGTGGTTTGCCAACACTGTGGGGAGATGTAACATTGAGCTTTTGTCTTTGCAAATGTCACATGTAAATAACATAAGTGAAGAAAGGTTTGATTTAAATGGTTTTGACTGATTTTTAACCTACATATTTCTCTTTTCTTGCAGGTGGTTGAGGACATAAAATGGACACGGGGAAGGATTAGATAAAGTACAGCAACCTTTCATCCCCTGGATAGTCCTCTTATCTACAGCTTAAGCTTGGTCCAGTCTGCTAATTCTTACAGACTGGCAGAACAATCAGAACCCAGACATCAAATCTTTTCTACAAGGAGAAAAACAAACTAACTGAAAATCTGGATGGTGGAGCTGCAGACCGCAGAATTACTGTATTCATGACAAATTCATAGTTCTAGTATGCTGATGCATTTCAGTATTAATCAAAACTACTACTAGAGGAAATAAGAACTTTCCTTCTCTATTGTGGTTTTGTGAATAAACAAAAGAAATTGATTATCCTGCCTTCAGCCGCTGTATCTGGCTGGCAATAATAGAATACAAGAAGAAAGCAACTTTAATTGAATACATTGGGGCTCTGAATACACTTTCCAGAGTGAAATGTTATTCCTCACATGCACCTAACAGCAGGAAGCCGCTATATACACAGTTCCCCTTCACATCACTGTAGAGTTATGAGCTCCAAGATAAAGGGCAGATCCTTTTCTCAGAAAGAAAAATAATCTGCAGGCTGGAGATTGGGATGCAGACAAAAAGCATGTTTTGGTGACCAAAATAGCATAGTAGGAAGAGCGACGTCTGGAAAGGGGAAAAAAGGAGTATTAGAGAGATGTAAATAGACAAGACTGGACTGTTTCTCAGCCCTCTTTGCCAGAGTTTTAACAGAGCACAACAAACTTGTGCAATTTTCATGGCAGTTGTCCATGGGAACTCATCCAAGGCACATCGGAGCAGAACCTCCTGGGAGGTCCTCTTAGATAGAGCATAATCCTTTATGAAGACCAAACCAAGAGTGCACTTCTTCCGTCAAATTTCATCTGAGTCCAGGACAACATTTGAAAAGATTTTTGCTAAAAGTGGAGCTATGACCGGAAGCAGCAACCTGGAAAGCTGAGCTACTCCTTTCTTGTCCCCTTTTGTGTGTTCCCTTGTATTTGTGAACTTATACACTGCCTGCCAGTAAGGACTAAAACTTCCAGCTGGACCGACAGTTTCATCTTATAAGGAGAGTAGATTTTGCTGACTGGAACAAAACACTCACATATCCCCCTGCGGAGGGCTTTTGTTTCTGCTGCAGCAGAAGCATTTTACCGTGGGTAGCGATGGAGATGGAGAAGGGACATATGTCTATCAGGAGAGGGTTGAGCTGGAGTCCAGGGGGATTGAGGAAACCTCTCCAGGCAACACAAAACACCCCTGGGACAGAGTGCAATGCATCATGGGAGAAGACAGGATTAAACAATGAGCAGATGAGCCGGAAAACAAGTAAGTGTTTGTTTATCTGGCGTTTTATGTCCTTATTTGGGGAGCCCACACAGCAGCAAGAAAGTGTCTTGTTGCTCTGTTACTTCTAAACAGAAATGTAAATACATTTTCCGGTGGTTCATTTGTAGTGCTACCTTAATGCTGCTTGAACTGCAGTATGTCATCATATCAGATAACTGAGAGGTGTAGACAGCAAATAGAGAAAACAGGCAGCCCTGCCTTGTCACTGAAGTTCTCTGTGATAACATCTGTTTCCATGCTGTAAAAATACAGGCTGCCCAATCAGCAATGCAAATGCAATCATGCATTGCTGCTAAAGATGAGTCGCAATATACAACACAGACAGCACAACACTGACCATAATGGGCCATTTTGTGGCACAAGCTATTTGGAAATTTCTTCAGATCTTTGTTTTTACTTTTACAGAGGGCAACTTCCAAAGAAGTGCGAAAAAGAGCAGGTCACACACCATAATGAAACCAAAACATTAAGTTAATGTTAAATAGCAATATGCAAAAACCCTGAAATAATACTCAGCTTGAGAGATAACTCCCTCTGGGCTGTGGCAAGTCTGTCAGATGCAGTATTCAAAGAGAGTAAGAAGACATTGTGCTGTGAGGAAGCAAAACAGAAAGGTCATGGCCATCAGATAACATGTCCTTGATATAGATCTGTAGCCTCTGTACCTCCAACACTGTTCCCATCACTCATTACTCACTAATTGGTTTCCTGAAATGGAACACAGTTCACCAAAAACAACACAAAAGCACAGTTATAATAGTTGACTAAATCTCTGCAGAGACCTTTCGTAATGCACAAAGTAACAAAATGAACACCAGGGCTTGGTTTCCACCTCTGAGCTGGACTTTTATTCCCCCCATGGGATCCAGAGAGTTTAGATCACATTCAGTCGGGTAAGATCCCAGGACCTCTGTTAATCCCTGTCTTTCCATACCGCTTCACACATCACCCACGGAGGCCAGTGCTGTCATCCCGCTCACCCCATAGCCATCGCTGGGGGAAAGATAACATCCGACAGGGTAATCTGACCTTTCATACACAAATGAAGGGTTGGCCCCCTGACTTAAATCATCCCGCTGTGGGGGAGTTTGCCGTCCGCTCTCACCCACACGGGAATGAGGGGATGGGACGGAGGGCAGAGGGATGAGTTGGGGAAAGTTAGAGGTAGGGAAACACAGATGTGGAGGCTCTTGCATCACCGCAGAGGGCTGAGTTTTGTTTCTGCTGGAGGACAGGAAATTCCTATCCTGCCCTTGCAGGTTGGAGCTTAGGCCCCTGAGGGGTCAGAGAGGGCAGACACTTGGTTGGGGAGAGTGAACAATAAGCACACTTATATTGTGATACCCAGTTAGACACAGAGGGCAGCAGAGGTCAGGTGCTGGATCTCTGGAGTCCCTGTCTATTCCATCCATACACACATAATCTGAAGTGTCTGCTGTCTCCCATTGCACTTCAAAGGCCGCAACATGGGTCAGGCACTTTCCTGCCATCACAGGATGGTAGACAGAGATAATCCGCTCAATACTTGCTGTTGGTTACCTGTCAAAGTGCACTCTTGTCTGTAGCTGCTAAAACATCAATACTTTCCCTGAGCTCTTTTAGAGTCATGTCTTGTAGGCTTAATTAGTGGATGGCTGATATGAAAAAGTGAAACAGAGCTGGAGGCTCAGTGACAGACTGCACAGCCTCCAGCTATAGACCCCCTCCCCTCCCCTCCCTGTCTGTCTGTCTGCGCGCTGGACAGAGGAGAAAACGAAATCCGATCCTATGTCTCGCAACAGAAAGGGGGTGTGAAGCTATCAGACGCAGTTAGTTTGAAAACCCTTGTGGGAGTACTGCAAACACAGCGGAGCTCTGAGGTTGACATGAAAAAGGTAAGGAATTAGGCACTGAAGTCGAGAGATAAATGATAGTTTCAGCTAACTCGTGAATAAGTAGGATTTTTTATAGAGACATACGACTTGTTAGTAGCAGTGAGTTGTTTTTGTAACTGAACACATCGGCTACGTCCATAAACTTTAGGCAAATGTATTCCCTCATAGGTTAAAAGAGTTTTAACCGAAGTCCATTGAACTTTTTTATCCTGCTGTGAAATCAGTTCCTTATTATATCTGTGTTATGCGCTGTAACTTACAAAGAACACGAATTCATTTCTTAAACTCAGACTAATTTCGATTATCGGTTATTACAAACATCTTCATTAGTTTACATATTTCTGGGGATGCCATGTCTAAGCGGTGGGTGTCATTAAATCAGATAATAACCAAAGTCTTGTACACAGCACTATCACTCACACTAACACAAGTCCACATTCTATAAAATATGTATTTTTAATTTCACTTGTTTTCACAAAGATGCTCTCTATTTTGGTCATGATATTAATCACCGATGGGATTTGCACCTGCGTGTTACTAGATAACCAGTCTGACTCCCTCTAGAGGTAGATGTTTCCAGTGAGGACACTTAATTTCAAGCCTCACTGCTCAGGCTCTGGTATATGCAGGTAGTCTGAATTATAAAAAATAAATAGCTAATAAAAATGTCACTGGGGCCTGTGGTGGCATCCCCACCCATATTGACAGCCTTGATAAAAGGCACTGCATATAGTACAGATTGGTTCATTTCTCTGCAGCAGTCTATAAAGGCAAGTGATTTATGTCAATAGTGGTAAGAGGACTGCTGGTTTAAAGGGTTGTGTGATAATGCTTTCAACCTTGTTATATTGTTGTCACAAATATGTATGGTGGTTGATATACCTCCCTCTTATAGTGTCACGTTCTGTCTTTCCTCTGTCAGTGTCAGGTTGTTTAATTTACCATAGTTGATACTGACATTGACGTATTTCCTTGCAGACATAACCATCATCATAAAAGGGTATACTTTTGTGCATCAAAGGGTATACTCTTCAGCAAAAGGCCGCTATAGTCCGTCTTTATATACTGAAACAATAAGATAAAAATTTGATAATAAGCATATGCTATTTAACTAAAGGAACTCAAGGGTACTCTACAAAGAGTGAATTCAATTACTGTGAGGACAGACTTAAAGTCTGTAAAATCAATGACAGATGCAGATTATTCTTTTTTAACTGGGGGAATGATCATATAGCTTTATACTCTGTGCCAGGAAAAACTGCATGCAGAATGAGTTCTATGGGAAAGCTTTACAAGTGATTTACACATAATTGTTGTGATTGGCACATGATTACATCAAATAATGTAGTTGTCTGGATCCATCACCTTATTAAATGAAGAAAGAGTCATGGCTGTACCAGCTGTCTGAGAAACCTCCTGGAGGGACGTGAAATATCTTCCATCAGTCAGAGTTGCATGAATTAGATGAATAATCTACCAGATGTGTCACCACAACGAGTTATTCTCTACAAAAGAATCTATGACTTAAGGGTTTTATGCTGTTAAAAAAAAAAAAGAAGCAAAGATGCAGCTTTGATTTTCCACATGAACTTTGAAGCATGGTGTAGTCACTATATTTAAGATGGGAACACTTGATTGTATAGTATGTTTATAGACAGAAGTCGAAAGATGTCATTTTTGGAGGCTGTAGATTGTAAAAATGGCCTATTAAGGGTTCAAGCTGCAGTATTGCAAATTAACTACAGAGAGAAACCAAAGGCATTTTGGAAGCTCGGGCAGGGAGTTTTCTCAGCGGTGGAGGAATGCTCAGGGAGGGACTACTGCAGATGGCAGAGGAAATAGCTCCACTGCCTGGAATGGAGCTCTTAAGCTCAGAAAACAAACTGTCAGTTTTAACATGTCTTATGTTTCAAGGCAATGTGCAAACCTGCAACATCAGGGTACAACATTATTGACAATTTATTTTGACTCTGTAAGAGACATTGACCTAGACCTTTTTATTAACTTTAGTCAACAAGCTTTTATGTCGTTCTTATTAAAATGTTTGTTTGAAATGTTTCTCAGCCTACGTCTGTTAGTTCTTTGTCTGTAGCTCCAGTCTAATGAGTTAAGAGTTTGGTGTAAAGCTGTATTTTTCTTTGCAGGATTGGTTTGAATCAAAAGTACTGCGAAGAACAATCAGAACCATATGGTGCAGAAACAATTATGTGGGTTTTTAAAGAGAATATTCAATCCCAGACTTGTTAAAAATTTGTCCTTGCTGGTTCTCTGTATTTGTACATAAAAGCGGTTTGGTGAGCTTTAATTAGATGTTGAGGGAGTTGTCTTTGTTTGAACAATAGATGTAGCTCATTGTTAGGGCTCCCACAGTCAGGGTCCCTTTTGTCATTAATCAAACATCTCTGCTATAAAAAAAAACACAAATTCCCTTGTTTCTCTCATTGATCAGGCTGTCAACTTTCTCTCGTTGTCTCTTTCACTCCAGATCTGACCCGGAGTGCCAGTTTATCAGAGAAAGAGCTAAAGGAGGCTCGTGTCAGGAGTCAGATCATCGCTGCTCAGCTCACCATCCCTTCCAACTCCAGTTCTAGAGGCGTGCAGCTCTTCAACCGGCGCAAGCAGAGAGTCAACGCCTTCACGCTTGAAAGCTGTGGAGAGGGGTCGCTGGAGGACAGAGCTGAGAATGTGAAAATCGACCCCTCATCTAACAAACTAACATGGGCAGAGAGGAGCAGTGAGGGAAAGGATAGAGACCTGAACTTTAAGAATAGTGTTACCAAACCACTCTTGTCACCACCTGGGAGGATACGTTTAGTAGGTGATATCATGGAGGACTCAGGTAAGGATTTCCACAAGGAAGAGGACATGGAGGACAGTGTTGTCCAAGAGAGACATTTCCTCCCTGTTAAGGAAGAGCAGGAGGAAGAGGAAGAGGCAAGAGATGAAATCCACGAGGAGCTTGTGGACAAAGTCAAGGATGAGATTCCCCCTGCAAGTAATAATACTGATCCAGTTCTGATCGGACATACTGAAGGGCAAGCAGAGATAAATGGGGGCCACACAGGGCCAGTTCCCCTTGGAAAGCTTCTTAATGGTTGCCACAGTGCCTCTGGACGTGAGACGGTACCTGTGCCCACATCCAAGCAGACAAGCACCATCATCAACCGAACTGCCAGGCCGTTTTTCTCTCCGCTGACAGTGCAGTCTCCAGAGGTAGTCAGCCCTGTCATGGACATTCCTCCTCCTCCTACTTACGCCACTCCTCCTCCCCCTGCTTTCACTGTTCCCCAGCCTGTAGCTTTCTCACCGCCACCTCCGCCTCCATCATATCCCACACCTCCTCTACCGGCCTTTACAAACCAACCCCCACAGACCTACTACTCCAATCCACTTCCAATCCCTTCCTCGCCTCCACTGTCCCAGTTCCCTGTTTCTTCTGTATCTCAGCACCCATCTATGCACCATTATGGCCCTCCCACGGCCCCAAGGCCCACCACCTTTGTTCCTCAGCCTGCTGGAGAGAGGAAGCCGATAATAGGAATCAAAACAGGAATACTTGAGGAAGGCGCTGCTAGAAGATCAAGTAGAAAGTCAATGTTCACATTCAAAGAGAAGCCAGTGGTAGCGCCGAACCCTGAGCTGCTCTCTCTGGTGCAAGGGGTGGATGAAAGGAAGAAACACGGACATAGATCTGTGCCTGAGCCAGCACCCGAGGAAGAGTTGCTGGCTCTGGGTGCAGAGGCCTCCAACTTCCTCGCCAAGGAACAGGACAGGGCAGAGGAGGCAAGAGCTCCAGAGTGGGCTTCCTGCCTCAAGAGCTCCAGGACCCAGCCAAGGCCAGAGCACAGGCCAGAGCAGACCCTCACCAATGTATCAGGAAAGGGGGCTGAGCTGTTTGCCAAGCGCCAGTCCAGGATGGAGAAATATGTCGTTGAGAAACAAAATGCTGGACAAATGAGGTCTCCTTCTCCCACGATGTCGCTGCCTCCATCTTGGGTGTACCCATCAAACATGCCCGGCAGGGTCAAGGCCATTGCTAAAAACTCTGACATGAGCGCTCAGCTTTCAGAAAACCTAAAGGCCCAACAAGCAGTCAAGCAAAAACCAAGGCAAAAGGCTCCAGCACCGGAACCAATTCCAGAGCCACCTCCTTTAGAAAATGGATGCTCCAAGATAGAGATGGACCTGTCAAGGCACCGGCCCTACCAGCTTAACTCCTCCCTCTTCGTCTTTAACCCAGCCAAGGACCCCATTAGTACCCTGCCCAGAGGAGCACCACAGTCCAGGAACCTGATGTCTATCTCTAGACAGACTTCCTTACCTACTAACCCCCCTCCTCACTTCAGTACCCAGTGTATGTCTCCACAGCTGCCTCTCCCAACAAGAGGAGGAGCAGAATTTCTACCAAATCCAGCCTCTGGTCAGCCAAGGATCAGTTCTCCTATGTCTGCCCTTTCTCCAGACCGAGTGTCCTCTCCTCGGTCAGGGGTCCAGGCACCCAGGCCCACGTTTTCTGCCAAGAAGGCAGGGATTACACCACAGGTGTGGAAACCCTTTCTGTACCATTTTTAGAAAAGTTGTTTACACCAGAGGAATCTTTTGTAGAGATTACACACATGTTTGGAAAACTGAAACTGACTTTAGGGGTAGGGCTACAATATGAAGTTTACTGCACTTTTTTGTTCAACTTGTGCCTTCTAACAATACTTTCTTTTGCATTGTAGGTATACAACCGAGTGCAGTCTTTTTATGTGTGAAATGCTTTAATGTATCAGAAAACAATTAATCTACAAGAAATGTAATAAGAACTGCAGCACGGGCTACAAACAAGTATCTAAATTGTTCAGTGAATGCAAAATTTGATTTTTTCCACACCCAAACAGCAGTAATTACCCTCAATTAAAATCAAAATACGCCTTGACGGCCAAAGCCGTTAAGCACATCAGCACTAAAAAACTTAAATTTTTAGGACGTTTTATAAACTCACATTTTTCTCACTTTGTCTCCCGATTCTGTGGGCACCAGGGTGATGCTGCTTCACAAAGCACTTTAACAGATGGTCCGGCATCTGCTTTATGATGTATGATTTGCAATTTAATGCTGCTGACTGACGAGAGCGAGAGAGCTCCTTTTATGTCTTTATGTCTTCAGGGTAATTTCCTCTGCTTTTCAGCATTTTCTACCTAAATATATGGTGTGTACTTGGATTCTTTGATGTTTCAAATCTGCAGGCTGCATACTAATTTGCATCACGGACCTACATTGTTTTCGTGAAATGAGTAATTCCAGTAGTGTTTTTTCGCAGGCAATCATCATTCACTGTTGTTTAAGACTACAGGGTTTATGTTTCACATCATAAACCGTCATTCACTGCTTTCTTCTGCTGTTATTCTGTCTGTTATGATACATTTTTTTGTGTGATAGTGAATCTTTCCTTCTCTGATTAAAGTGTTATGCTAACACTCTGCTGTGACCTCTTTCTCCTTTTTCTTATTTCGTGACTTCACTGTCTTCTTCTTCCAACCTTTAGTTTCTCTTTGAAGTGTTTGTGATTTCACTTTCCTGCCTTCCTTGCAATCACTGAAAACACAACACACTGATAAATGTTTTGCCTCCCAGATAATTTGCATCAGGAGATAGATATATTTTTGAACACAGTATGTGACTTTTAACATTTCTTTTACAGAAATAATTATTTTGGCTTACCATTGCAATTTTTTTAACCATTTTATAAAAAATTTGACTTATGTGTGTTTGTGTTAAGACATGATCCCTTGGTCTTGTTGGTCTTGAGAGGCTCAAACATTCAGACAAATAGAATAATCCTTGACCTGGACCTTGTTTAACAAATGCCCTGAACTTTGGAAACGTCACCAGTAATGTTGATCTTAAAAGACCTTAACTTCTCAGGATACTGATCCTAGCAATTCCGTCTGTAACTCTAAAGACTGTCTTCATATTATTATCACGAGTGAAGAGTTTGATTAGTATGTGCTTAAGATGGAATGCTACCCTTGCTTCAGTCGAGTAACTTCATATCCCTGTAAAGGTTAACTACCTCAGGATGGCCAGATGACAGTAACCTGAGAAAGACACTAAAGACCAGGCCTATGTGTGCTGGTGGCCAGACTTATTGAAGAAACACACACAGTAGGGAATACACAGAGATGACCTGAATGCCACTGGAGCTCAAAACTGAACACATAAATACTATTTTATCGTCTTATTGAATAGAGTTAGAAACCTCAGAATATAGATAAGGACATTTATTTATTCTATTATCGTACACTGGACAGGCATTATACTACAACCTCTAATTTTGCAAGTTTGCGTGTTATGTTTTTGTTTGCGTGTACATGTTTCCAAGAGTCTAAAAAATATTATTTGTCATGGTCCAACAGACACCAAAGGATACCTCCCCAGTTGAAACCCCCAGTGAGACTCCCACACCAAACAGGACGCCCAGCCTCACCAGACGTTTCAGCAGCCCAGAGGGCCCCACCGCAGGGACCAGGAGTCCTAACCTCCAAACTAATCGTCCCTCTTCCACCATCTCTAGCCGCTCAGTTACTTCCCCAGTATCCTCTCCCAGGGGTACAAGATGCCAATCACCTATGGCCAGTCAAAAAATCCAATTTTCCACTGTTACCTCCACTACAACATCCAGACCTTCCCAAACATTCACAGCCACATCCCCATGCTCTCCTCCTTGGGGATCAAGATGCCAGTCCCCTATGGTGAGCCACAATACCCAGTCTTCCACCATTTCCTCTGTTCCTACTTCAAGACCTTCTCAAACTTCTACATCTACTTCTCCTTGGGGATCAAGATGCCAGTCCCCAATGGTAAGCCAGAATACTTCCAATCTCGTCTCCATTTCCACATCCAGACCAACCCAAACATATACAGCCATGTCTCCTGTCTCTCCTCCTTGGGGGTCACGTTCCCAGTCTCCTGCACTATCTCAGACCAGCTTATCCTTCCCTGCTACTAAGCCTCTGTACACATCCTCTGCCACCTCTCCTGTTCCCCCACCCAAAGACAGTCGCTGCATGTCCCCCATCATTAATAACCAGGACTCTAAAGCCAACCATCGCCTCATGGCCAAGAACATAATCAATGCAGCCAAACGTAAAAACAGCCCCTCCCCCGGAGCACTGAGCGGTCACAGCCTACCCATCTCGCCTCTGGGAAATTCTCATGGCTACGACTGTCACAAACCGCCCATAAGCCCTTTCCAGTCGCGGGCATTAGGGGTCCAGTCCCCTTCCTTCACTAGTCCACCTCCCACCCCAACTCAAAGGATCTGCTCCCCTGTGAGGCTATACAACACTCGCTCCCTCACGGACTCCGATGCCTCTGTTGAGTCTGAAGAATCAAGCCTCCGATCGCCTGGCCTGCACTCCTACAACACCTGCCCCCGTGGCTGGGGCGGTAGCCTGAGGGTGAAGAGAAGCACAGTCTCCACTGACCTGTGAGGGTGTTACTGGATGGCAGTCAAAGCACAATTTCAGTTTTCTTAGATGTTTGTGGTATCAACTAGTAAAAGATGAGGCAATTTACAACTGATGGCATTTCATCAGACTAATATTAGACAAGTTACCTTTCTGTAACTTTAAATATTGATCCTTGCTGTGGCTTGTACACGTCTCACATACCAAAAAGTGCATAGAGACTCAGAATAACCAAAGATGTTTAAATTCACTTCCATAAATGTTTTTACACCTTCACAACAAGCATAATTTCATAGCCACTGTTCTAATTAAACAGTGTTTAAGTAAATGGGTATGTGTTTTACATGTTATTAATGAATGGAAAGAGATTTTAGCATAGAAGGGATGGATGGAATAAATAATGTATAACGATATATCTCATTGGACTGTACAGTACTTTGGTTAAAGCATTTTCTAATTGTACTGTATTAGTAAAGAATCAAATTTAACAGTGAATATTGATTTTGATTATACTGGGTAAAATGAGTTTCCATCATTTTTCCATAATAAAAACACAGTGATAGGTGGGACACATGCTATTCACACTATCACACATAGTCAAAGTATTCACCACAGTTTATTATCCATTTTTAATCAATGGGAAATAAATCATATGCATCATTAAAGCAGTGCAATAATCAATTTAACACAGCGTATATATGTTGCTTTTTGTACTGCATTTGCTATAATGAATGTAAGCTTTAGAGACAGATTGACTGAGAATGACAGACAAAGGGTGTTGAGTATGAAGCGTTATGTGGAGGTTTAATGGGGCATTGAAGCACTTGTTTAAGCAAACACTATTTCTGTGTTTTAAATCCAAAGGTTTAAATGGTTTTATGCTAACATTTAAACATTGACGATGAACAATTTAACAAACAGCTGTCAAGGCATATTGATTGTAATATTCACAGTGGAGAATCGTGTATATATGCCTAAGTTTTGACACTTCTGCTGACCAAACACCGTCATTCTATTTTATCAGTAATGTCTTCAATGAGGAACAGATTAACATTTGTTGTGCTTGTACTTATTGTACAAAGTGCCTGTTTGGATGAGGTTCAGAAGCAAATGTGTATGTCACACAAGTAGGGAAGGTACAACGGAATGTTGTTAAGCTTTCATGGGAAAAAGGTTAGAATAATGTTGTATGTTGTGAAATATTAATAATTATTAAATCAAAAGTGTTGAAAGTGTGAGTAAAGGATTAGAGGAACTGACTGTATTTTAAATACATTCATAACTCTCATTAACTTCAAAAGTTTCTTTTTATACTTGATTTGCACTTCCGTTCATTCCATTTCAATGGCTAAGTTGGCAATGTGTAAACCTTGAGTTGCTCAAACAGGTGTCAATCAAAATAAAGGCAGCAAATAAATATCCTACTGTAAAAACCAGAACATTCCTGCACTATTCAACATGTTGACATGATGGTGGTAATTAGCTGTAAACTTGACTGCTGCCTTCAAACCACAACTGGCTTTCTGTTTCAAGTGTGGGATGTGTTCTCTACCAGCATACACAACATCATTCCTTCACTCCCCCACATACACACAAAGCATCAGCACATTTTGAAATATGAACTTCTCTGTGTCCTTTGAGTGACGGGGACACCTGCTACATGGTGTCCTGACTCCTTCAGCAGGATTACGCCTATCACTGTCATGGATTGGTTTCAACCTGGGTCACCTCTGGACAAACCGAACACTGCTGACATCCTCAAACACAGAAACGAATCATTGCATTTTTTAGTTTTGCAAGATGATTATTTTTGGCGGGGGGTCAGTGGTTGCATGCCTAGAGTTTTTCAATACAGCTCATTTTTCTCTCATTTCATAACTGTATGGTGTCTGAAAATGAATGCAAAATAAAAAAGTGATGACACACCAATTTAAATAATAAGTCTTGTTTGTCACTTTTTTTATTATTATACTTCATAACACCTTGAACTGAAAATAATGGTATAAACTGAAAATAATATTAGCTGGAGTAGTAATTTCGCCTTTTTTAAATATTTCAAAATGATAGATTAAGTGGGTAAGTCATAGGATGTACATTAATTCACATAAAACACACTATCCACATATTTCTACTGTTAAACTAGTTTTTTGATTAATTATTTTCCTCTTATTGTATATGTGTATTTAAGGTAAGACTACATGACACATTTAGGACTACAGTAATCCTGCACTGTGCCACCTACACAAGGACTCACATTTCATCTGGTCCTTAGCCCTTAAAGCACCTCACCAGAGACCCATTAAAACTTTATGACAATCAATATATTTTGTTGCAATTTAACTAAAACTAGATAATTAAATTACTTTGCCCTCTGTTTGTAACCCGCCTATATTATGCTCACTAGTTGTTTATTGCCCAAACTACTGACATTATGTACAGGATCATCCACCACATTTGCAGACTTATTCCTTTGGGTTTACAGTCATGTGTTGTGCTTCACTATCAGAGCAATACACTGCCCATTTGTGGTGATAGTTGGGGGACTGAAGTGTCCCTAACAGCAACTCCTCAGGGTGAAAAGGAAACCAAAGCCACATTTATCACAGGTTCATAGACTGCCATCTGTAGGACTCTGGACAGAAGTTCAAATTAAGCATTTCATTTTAACTGATTGTGTACATGCAACTGTTTCTCAAAATAAACATTTAATACATTTGCTCATTATTTTCTTTAAAATAATTTCATAGTATCATCATCAATCATAGTACTAAAATTAGGCAATTTCTCCTGCAAGAAAATACTGTGAAAAAAAGTAGCCATTAAAGACATTTTCGTTTATCCCTGTAATAAAGTAAGAATGAATGTTATTCCTAATAGACATTTTTCACTGCAGACATTTCAACACGTCATAGCAGGAAAAGAACAAGTGCATTAAAATTAATGATGACTGCATTTAGCTATTCTCGCTTAGCTTGCTTGCTCATTGACAGTACATTCACAATATGGTGAGTATTGTACAGGCTAACCTGGATGCTCACTTATTACATCCATTGATTACAACTCATCACTGGTGGACAGTAAGTACATTTACTCAATTACTGTACTTAAGCACACATTTGAGGTACTTTACTACTTGTATTTTCTTTTCATGCCACTTTATACTTCTACTCCACTATATGTCAGAGGGAAATATCGTACTTTCTACTTCACTACATTCATCTGACAGCTATAGTTACTTTACAAATCAAGATTTTTACACACAAAACATATGAAGAGTTTATCAAATGTGATGTTATTGATTAAACTACCCAATAGCTGATTGACAGCAACTATTTTAAGTAATTAATCATGTAAAAACATTCCATGGTTCCAGCTTTTAAAATGTCATGTTTTGCTGCTTTTCCTTTTAATTATTTTAATATATTTTCAAAATAAACTGAAGTTTGGACTATTGGTTGGACACAACAAGCACTGTGAAGGTGTCACTTTGGCCTCTAGGTAACTGTGACAACATTTCACACTATTTTCACTTTTTAAACCAACCGATTAATGGAAAAAATAATCAGCAGATTAATTAATAAGGAAAATAATTATTAGTTACATACCAATACAAAACAGTGAAAGTCAAAATGAGCTCCATCTCAACAGGACAACAGTAAAATCCTGCTTTTACATCAATGCATGAGTAACAGTAAAATTGTACTTCTTGCAGAAAATGTGTGTGCCGAAAGCATTATTTGCAAAACACTGCTGAAAATTCAGATGTCTGAAACTGAAGCATTGCATTGCACTGCTTAACAACCTGGAAGCTGACCTGCATTACCTAATAATGCTTAAAGATGAAACACGTTGCAAGCTTAAAACTTAGCTGTAATAAGGACAAAACTGTTCCTGTAAAAACCTTAACATTTAGAATATATGGTAGGTAGAAGAGGTCCTTAAAGAGCTGAACTTCTGATATTTGAATGGTTCTGTAGCTGAAAGTATTAATCAAAAGAATAAATTCTAAAGCCTTGCTGAAAATGCAGGAATGTGAAATAATTTTTCAAAATTAAAAACCAAGCTACATTACCTAAAGCTAAGAGTTGAAACACATTGCCAGAAAAGCTGGAAGCTACTATATCATCAGTGGTTTTCACTTCTATTGTAATAAATTGTTGAAAAAAAAGGAGTACAAATCCTCACAAAAGTCCCCACAAAGATAGCAAAACTAGGTTTTGTGGAAGTCCCCACAAAGGTAGCAAAACCAGTGTGTTAATGTGTGTCAGTATTTGAGTGTCTGTGTGCTTGTCTGTGAAAGACAATGATTTAATTGTGAAATAAGGATTCCTCCCATTACATAAAAATATATATTTTTTAAAAGCTTAATATTTAAACAGTATGAAAGGTAGAATATCACTGATTCATAACACACATCCTTAAAACGCATATTTAAATATTTGAATGGTTTCAGAAGCTAAATGGATGTAGAGGTTTGTTTAAAAGGAGACAGAGAGGGGTAGATTTCAATTCTGAATTAGGTTTGAATTTATTAACAATTAAAAAGAGGCATCATCTGCAGAAAATAGCTTAACATCAATCCACTAATCAGAACAGAAGAGTAGACTGTTTTGATGTTTAATCAGCGAATCAACATCACCTGTGTGTAACTGTATCTGGGTAAATTGCTCTGTCATTGAACCCATTTACACCTTGCATTGTTATGCATCTGTATCCAGATTGTATCTAGATATGATGTGTCTCCAGTGTCCACAATGGGATCTTATTGAGTATCTGACAGGCAGGTATGTAAACTATACTCATCATTTGTATCATTTTCCACAATGGGTGTATGCGTGGACAAAGACACTGGCCATGTAGTAAGTGTTGTTATTTTTTCATGTTTATTATTTGTTGAGGAGATTTTGTTTTACAAAATAGTGTTCCGAAAAATAATAAATATATATTCACAACTTTGATCAGGCATTGAAAGTCTGTATCCTGGAGGATATGTTGCCTAGATAAGGGTATAAAACAATGTATTTCACGCTCAGATATACTGCTGTTTTGAGGCCTGTGATCTACAGATAATCAATAATACAAAGGTGTGAAATATGAAATATTGATTACTCCCCTCAGATAATCACCACCTTATGGCAGTGGAGGGGTTTGTGTGTCCCTGTAAACTTGGGAGCTGTGTTGCCTGGGGCAGTAGCCCGTGGTAGGGTCTCCCAAAGCAAATTACAATGAACAAAATTATAAACTCAACACTTTTGTTTTTGCCCCATTCATCATGCATTTCAAATTGCATCTTCAGCAAGGCTCATTGCACAGGTGTGCATTACCCATGCTCAAAAAATGTGCAGTTCCATCACACAGCACAATGCCATAGCTGTCGCAAGTTTTGAGGGAGCGTGCAGTTGACCCTTTGCTAAGCCATGCCCACCTTAGTCACTGTTGGGAAGTCAGACAAACTGTCGGCGCTGCCACTGCCTATTACTGCACTCCCTGGAGAAATATTGACAAATTTGTTGGAAAAAGCGATCTCAGAAAGAAGCAGACAGTTTTGCAGTTGCATTATACATTTGAAGGTTGTATTCAGGTCCAACTGACTCAAACAGATGCGAAAAAAATTAAAGATAGAAGCTAAAGCCTACCGATCACACAGTAGGCCTACAAGTGAACCACTGCATCCATGATTGAGACAAAAGACAACGATATTAAAGAGGTGGTATTATGCTTTTTGGCTTTTTCCCTCTCCTTTATTGAGTTATATATCTTTTTTGTGCGTGTAACAGGTTTGCAAAGTGAAAAAGCCCAAAGTCTGGCTCAAAGGGAGTTCCCATCTCCCACAGAAACACTGCTCTGAAGGGCTTGAAAACAGCTCGTTTGTAGTCCAGCCCTTCACTTCCTTGACTTGTGACGTCACAATGCAAGCATGTCATAAAGCTTGCCAAGCGGCTAGTGAGATCGGGCATGCTCTCAAACCAAGCTAGTCTGAGCGGAGGCCCTTTGGCTCGACTCGCCTTTGTTTGGTTTTCCATTGTAGAAATGCTGTACCTGTACCTGCTTCCAGGTACTTTTTTTCGTATCACCTCACCTCCCTCGAGGTTCCAACCAAATTTACAAAATATCCATCCAACGAGCTACTAAGAACGAGATTCGGCATGGATCATAATAACTGTACCTTTTGTGAAATTGAAATTGAAACAACTGATCACCTGTTTTTCCACTGTATGTACTGGGCCAATGCCTTTTGGGAGGACTTACTGGACTTTCTCTCAACCAAAACCCAACTACTTACTCCTCTTACTAGAGAAAATATTGTGTTTGGTGTTACTATGAAGGACAATAAGATTGACTTAATTTTGAACAATATGATATTGATGGCAAAGTTTTTCATCCATACCTCCAAATGGAGAAATACAAAACCCCTTTTTTCTGTCTTCAAGTGGGACATTATCGCCAATCATCTTTGTGTTTTAAAACTAATGAAAGGGAAACATGCAAGATCTCTCCTCCATGCCTATAAGGAGTCGAAGAAGTTTGTGGACCCCTAGTAACCTTTTATTTTATTATTTATCCATTTTTTTTTTCTCTTTCCTTTTCATATATTTATTTACTTATTATTTTTTAATACAATATAAGTTATTATAAGTTATTCTTTCTATCTTGTGTGACTTGTATGCAGACTGAGAGGTCTTAATGTCATGTCTTCTATGCCTTTAAATTGTAAATGAATCTTGTCAATCAAAAATAAAAAAATTCCTTCTTTCCTTCGTTCCTTCTTCGATTCCTTGATTCCTTCCATTCCTTCCTTCCTTCAATCCTTCCTTTATTCCTTCCTACCTTCCTTGATTCCTTCCCTCCTTCCTTGATTTCCTCCTTGAGTCCTTCCTTGAGTCCTTCATTCCTTCATTCAATCCTTGATTCATGGATTCCTTTCTTGCTTCCTTGATTCGTTCCTTCATTCATTCCTTCATACCTTTCATCCTTGATTCCTTCTTTCCTTGAGTCCTTCTTTGATTCCCTCCTTCCTTTCTTCCTTCCATCCTTGATTCATTCCTTCCTTCCTTGATACAAATCACCACCACAAACACACCGCAGCAATGACAGGGACGTGCAGCCAATATGGATGAGGATCAGTGTCCAATACGTAACCACCCTTTCGGTTTCAGTCTCAGCAATGCTGTTGTGTTGTGCTGAATTGCTGTCGTGTTGTGCAATGTGCTGTTGTGTTGTGACGATTTGCTGTTGTGTTGTGACGATTTGCTGTTGTGTTTTGCACTTTGAAGCTTTGTAGCTGATAGTATGCAGAAGTAATGCAGCTAAACCAGCATTCACAGTAATAATAATCTAATGATAACATATACGTTAAACATTAACAGGACACATTTTTGTGTTTTAAGTATTTACTTTTAATACTTTAAGTACACTTTCCTGATTATACTTACACACTTTTACTTAAGTAGCATTTTCAAAGCAGTACTTTTAGCCAGTGGTAATAGAGTATTATTACAGAGTTAGTATTTTTGCTTAGTAAAGGATCTGAATACTTTGTTCGCCAGGTGTTAACTCTGTGTTAGATATCACAGGTATTATTCAACTCAAGAGTGAAAGGCATGCAAGAAACTGCAAATATGTTGCAGCTTTACAGGAGGTTTGGGAGCCTATATATACACAAGCTGAGCAATTTCCCTTCCACAGCTCTTCTCGTTTTATTTTATTTTACAGATTTGTGTTGCCAACAATAAATTGCACCATAAGATGAGAAGTAGGCTTAATTAGTTGTTGTTGTTTTGGATGGGAAGATTAACAACAATGTGGTCTGTGAAACATGTGAATAAAATACTGTTCATCCTTTTCCCTCAGTTTTGCATGAATTTGATGAAACAACTTGGCAATCCCTGCTGCACCTATTGCATCTATTAACCTGAAATACCACGTAACGTTATAGCGCTCTAGCAGTCTCTTTGTGCTCAATTTAGGGCTGTAACATTATGCATTATGGTTATAACCATAATGTTACAGAACTGCAAAATGAAAACCTTCATTGAGACACAAGAGGCCGCTCTTGAGGTGAAAAGGGTGAAAGCCACCGTAGCGCTTTCATCGTTTGACAGCAGGGTTTGTTTTACAGCACAAAACAACAAGGATGAAGATTTCAAGCGACGATGCGGCAACAGAGATAACCGAGGAGACGTTTAGGTAGCTGAAAGCCTGTCGGCTTTATCTCTGTCTCCAGGCGTGTGCTACGAAATTATCGCCAGGCAACTTGAATATCGACTAAACTGCAGATGAACGTCTGTGCCTTAAGTGTCGCTGGATTTGTTGTTGTTAGCTGCTAATGCTAACCATAGAAGTTGCGAGCTAGCTGGCCTGGCTAGAAAAGATCCTGGCTAGAAAAGATCATTAGAATAGTCGGACAACGTTATGTTTGATTTACATAATGCTGTCCGGCGAGTAAACTCGGTGTTGTGCAGCTGATGGAGCAGCTAACCTTGGCTTCAGTAGTTCAAGAACTGCATCATTGGTTAAGCGTTTGAAGTAACGTTACCAACCGTAACGATAGTAGTTAGCTTGCCAGTTAGCCACCACTTTCCTTGGAAGAATGAGTAGAAAACACCATCATATTAAAGGGGCAGAAGTCAGCTGCTGCGTGAAATACTTCTTATTTGGATTCAACATTTTATTCTGGGTAAGTAAATACAGTCTTTGTGCCGTTTGTTAGTCGGTATCCTAAGAACAATAACCCTAATGTTGCTAACTTAAAGTCTCATGAAATAGTCTGGTAAAGTTAGCTCAATGTTAGCACAGATGGTGTTGGCGACTGGAACTTAGACTGACTCTTAACTTAAGTGATCCCTGAGGTCTCAATAATATGATCATTTAAGGTAGTTCAGCTAACTATAAAAACTATTAAATTAGTCTTTCTCCTGCCATATGTTTTTTCTGTTTTTTTCTGGTTTGATGATTGTTGTTGTTGTTGTTTGTGTGTGGTAACTTGCACAACAGATTAGCTTGTTAACGTGATTGTCCTAGAGGAAGTCACATTCTAGTCATGTTCATTTATATTTTTTCCCTTTCATAATACTGGTGAAATGAACTGTTGTGGGCGTGGCACAAGTAACGTTATTACCAGTCATTTTAAATACTTCGTTGTCTAATTTAAGTTTTTAGAAGAGTCAAGGAAGCTCTCATGATGGTTTGTTGGTGGAGGCAGAAACTAACCATAGATAAAAGCTGAGCTGATGTTAGTTTCTCTTTCTGCTCTGACTTGGCAGTGAGGATTGGTACCATTGTGTTTGAGTTTGAGAAATGGCTGTCTCATCTGTATTGTTTAGGTCAGTGACAAGTGAGCCTACGTCTCCTTTACAACACCCCCCTCCATCTTTGTCCCTCCTCAGTCTGAAAAGTTCCTCTGTTCAGTCTGCTTCACCCCTCCCTCCTCACCCGTCTGCTTTGCCTCTGTAGGGCTGGTGTAATATAATGTTTGTGGGTGAAGGAATGGCGTGTCTATGTGCCCCAGAGGGTCTTCCCACACACTGTTGGAAGAGAAGGGCCACACTGGCCTGAATACCACCCAGCCCTCCTCTTTTCAAGCACCCCCTTTCACTCCTTCCGCCACTATAATGCTCGGGCACTGTGGGACAGCATTGTTTGCCTCCCTCACACACCCACAAATGCACAAAGAGGGCTGAGTATGATTCTGTGTTTTTTCCCCTGGTATGCTTGTTTGAGTCTGTTCTGGACTCATCAGGCACATGGGATCCACATGCGACTGGCTCTCTCCCTCTTCCTCCTCCTTTCATCTTCACCACCTTTCACCTCAGTCCTCACCACTCCTTTTCAACACGTGGTTACACTATATATCATGGTATGTTTTTTGTTGTGAAACTGAGGTGACATGAATTTCTTCCAAACATGCCACACATATATATTTAAAATTTTCAAACTACAATGCACAAATACATTTTACAGTTGGCCTCACAAATGAAAAGTGCTCTGTAATTCAATCAGACTGAGCAATCAACCAGGAAATATTGAGTCATAGGGCTATAGCGTTGTCTGACTCATATTGTGCTCTTTCAGACTGTTTGACACTCAGGCCAAGCAAGTCCTGTGTCTGAGCTCTTTGTAAAACTGTGGAACAAGTTCCAGCTCGCTGGCTGTTTCCGTTAATAATCACAAGAAGATGTTCTCCTCTTGTCTGTGTGCCGTGGAACTGGATTTGACAGACAAGCCGGTGCATTGCCGAAATAGAGAGAGATGGGGTTTACTCTCCACAAATCAGCCCATTTGTCTTTCCTAGAGTGATCTTGTCAGACTTGAAAATGCTGCTTGAATTGAGACAGAATGCTTGTAAGACCCTAAATATTGTGAAGAAAATAGAGCAATAAAACCTAGTGCTTCTCCTCTGGGTGAATTCTTCCAGCGTCCCGAGCTCTCTGCTGACAGCCAGACATTCTCACCCAGTGCCTTCTCTCGTCCTTACAATAGACACATCCACTTAATTAATCACATTTTCTGCCTGAGCTGCTGAAATGTTCGGAGGCTCTGCATGCTGTAATTAAGAGCTTGTTAAGCTGTAACCAAGTTGCTGAGTTGGTTGGATGCAGGCAGTATGTTATTAGCCAGCTTCAAGTGTCTGTTCACATTTGGCACTAAAATGCACATTGGCTGATCACATCACAGGTGGACAACTGTAAAGAACCAAGTGTGAAAGCAGCAAGACGCATTTGAAGGTGATCAGGGTTGCAGCGGTATACTGTGGTTAAAAATTGACGCTTATCATACCTTGTATATTTGCTTATCTATGGTATTGAATTCTGCGGTATTTATTAAATATATATATTTCAAGTTTTGTGTCTGTCAGGACACACTATTTTGTGAAATAATAATAATAAAGCATTTGCTCAACCAAATATAACACTTCTGTTTTCATTCCTTTAAGGGTCGTTATGACTACAATGATAATAATTGTGTATAACTGTGATATTTTCTGAGATGATTATCGTACCATTAAAATCTTATTCCTTTGCAGCTGTATCGCTAGGGTTAGTTATCTGACTATCTGCGGATTATGGATTGTTGATCAGATGAAAGAAGAAAGTCAAAATGGGAAGTTTTACTGCAATTTTTTGACAAAATGTTTAAGTGACTAATTGTGAAATTAATTGGCAGTTTAATCGATCATGATAATAAAAACTCTTAGTTGCACCCCTGTGTATAGCACATATGTCTCTATCCAAGACAAGACACCAAATAACAGCTGTTTTCCAGTCTTTGAGGACAAATACGTATGTTTTTCTTTTTAGTGTTATTTGCAGATAAACTCAAATGTGAACAGTGAGGTAAAGTCCACTTAAAGGGTATTTTTTTTGTTTCTGATTCATTCTGATTTCCGTTCTGATACTCTGAGTCAACTGCAGTCTGTCTCAGTTGGCTCTGCACAATATCTGGATACAAGATAATAGCATTAAACACAGGACCTAACCTTCTATCGATTATAGCCTCAGCCTCCAGTGATCCATTCCAGTTAGCATCACTGTGGCCCTGAAACTGGTTTTAGTTTCATGCTGTTGTAATTAATCAGCCAAATTGATACATTGATTTTGCTCCATCAACTGTAGAGAAGTGTGAATGTAAGAGTTTCCCTGCTGCGGAATCAGACGAGCGTCATATTTTATTCACCCGGTTGGCAGCGCTGATATCACATCATCTAGAAAGTCAGCTTTTTAGGGAGTCACAGAAAGGCAGTTGCACTTCAGTAAGTCTATACCGTGTGTGTGTGTGTGTCCAGGGAGCGTGGATCTTGGTTTGTCTGCTAGTTAGTTGAGGTTAATGGGATCAGCTGGCTTTGGGAGGCATCTTCTCAAACTATAATCTGTCTGTCCACAAGGACAGGAACCCCTCGCTCTGGGACACACACAATTTACAGCAGCGCTTGACAGAGAAATAACCAGAACAGGCTGATTTGAATAATGAGGCTGATAACAGGGACATCTAGTTCCAGGCTTTGTTTGTTTGCTCAGTGATAAAAGCACAGGGATTAGATAAAATGATAAAAAAAAAATATATATATATATACACAGAAGAAAGGGAAACAAATGACTTACGAGAGCAGGTGAGATTTAAAGAAACAAATCCTGAGGGGCTTTTAAAACAGCTTGTCTCCAAACAAACAGAAGCAATGAAGGATAAACCAAGCAAGAACACACAAAGACACAGTGCTGTGCTTGGTTTTACTGCTTAATTGTTGAGAGATACAAACAGATCTAATGTAGAAATAGGCTATGTTTAATTTTTTTAGTTTGCTTAAGAGCTGCAACAATTAATCGAATAATCAATTAGTTGTCAATCATTAAATTAATCGCTAACTATTCTGATAATTGATTACTTTGAGTCCCCTTTTTTAATAAAATTCCCTGATTCCAGCTTTTTAAATGTAAATATTTTCTGGTTTCTTTCTTCTCCTCTATGATGTAAACTGAAAGTCTTTGGGTTGTGGACAAACCAGACATTTGAGTACATCAACACTAATAGGCATTTTTCACAATTTTCTGAATCAATTAATCGAGAAAGTAATTGACAGATTAATCAACAATAATAATAAGGGTTACAGCCCTAGTTTACTTTTTATCTACTGCTCAGTAAAACGCAATACTTATCTGGAGAGCATTTTTGCCTCAGGTCAGCATTGACAGAGTTTAGCACACAGGTGTTTTTCAATGCCACTGACTGACCTAAATTTGAGTCTGGCTGCCTACATTACACTGTGGGAAAAGTTGGATAAAAGGAAATAACACAAGAACTGTACAAAGGCAGGTTCAGTTCACTTTCAATGTACTCATTCAAGTCAAATTCACTTCAATACAAACCTTATTGTCCCATGAGAGAAGTATGGTTTCCAAATAAGCCTTTAAATGGGCACATAATACGGGTACAGAATATGCGAATACAGGAACAAACTCTTCACAATACATTTTAGGGATATGTTGAAGCAGCATAATGATCAAAAAACAATGAAGTTGAACTTGGATTTTTTTGCTTAAACTTAATACATTTTACTTAGCTTTAGCTGATGCTTTTATCCAAAGCGACTCACAATTGCTATATATGTCAGAGGTTGCACGCCTCTGGAGCAACTAGGGGTTAAGTGTCTTGCTCAGGGTACGCTGGTGGAGGTGTCACAGTGGGGAGTTGAACCCAGGTCTTGAACCCAGCTTTCACACCAAAGCCATGCATCTTATCCACTGCGCCGCCACCACTGCAATGGTTGTGATTTGTTTTGCCCAGGCTTCTGACCTCTCTGAAAAGGGAGCTCAGTTATTGTGTGTTTTATAAATAAAGTTGAAGGTGAAACTATTTACTGACTGAGAAAGAGACTGAGAAATGGTGAAAGAAATGGTAAGCTGAAATGACAGGGTACCAGGCGTAGCTGTCTCACTTAATGCTGCCTTCGGGGTCACCGCAAGCTGTGGCATGGAGAAATACAACCTGACGTGCATTGAAGTACACTTGACCGGAAATAATAACAAAATGGGCCATATAACAGATTTGCTTTTCTGGTGTGTGGCTGGTGTTTTATATTAGAAGCACCAGAGTGAAGAGGCAGTTCTTTTCTTTTGGCTTTTATTGGATAGTTCCCAGTAGAGAAGACACAGGGTGAGATGGAAAGAGAGAGTGGGATACTGAAACCCCCCGGGCATCCTGTAATTGATGATTTGAGCAAGTAGCCAGAGTAGTTGTAATTTATTTTAAGTGCCTATACTTTACATGGAAAACTGCAAAACAAACAGTATGACACATTACAACATTATGGATTCTGTGCTCTTTGTCCCCTAAATGTTGCATTTCTATATGTTCCACAATATAATTGAAGCACTTGAAGGCACCACTGAATTCTGGTGATGTTCCCATTCAAATACAAGCTATTCTTCATCATCATCAAGTGTTGCATAGATAGTTTAGAAAATACACGGTTTCATGTGTGCCAGATATTATCCAAAGTGTCATCAACTCTTCTTAGTTTCCTGTTTAGGACAGAGCTATGGGAATAAGACAGAAAGAACATGAGCTGTTGTGTCAGTGGGCCGGCCGTTACTAGCAAAATGTCTACCTTCAGTAAATACAAAACAAAATCTCGGTAAAACCTAACTTTTCATATGTTTTTTTCCTATTTTAAGCTGCAATAAACCGCATTAGTGTAGCATCCTCAGTGGGACTTCTGCAGATAGCACATCAAATCCAAAATGATAAAGGCACATAATTCTCCTGAAGTTTTCAAAAATCTAACCACTTTGTTTTGAGGTCACCATGCGGACAATTTCAACTCCAAGGGGTGCTTTCCTGCAACATTAATTTTTGGGTCCTGTGCAGCTGGATTGTCTCGATTAGAAAGAAGACGCAGGTTCAGTTTAGCCTTCTGGTTCTCTCTAGAACACTCCTTCATGGCCTGCGTTCCGTGAAAGTTTACAAGCTGTGAGTTGGAAAGGAAGAAGTATCAGGAAGTGCAGCCAAAAAGCCACACCCTGATTTTATAAAACATACAGGTGTTGTGTTGTCCCACAAGGATTGGCAACACTTGAGTCAATGACATCCAGACATAATTTATTTTTCATTTGAATATAAACTATTGCGTGTGCTGCCTGCCACCTTAACTGCTACCACATACAACTATAGCTTGTACTGTGTACTGTATATTAGTATATAGTATTATACTATACTGACAGGTCTCGCCGTCGGAGAAGGTTTTCATACAGTAAATATGGACATTGCACATTAACATAGAGCAGGAGGCCAGTTTGTCATGTGATGTTGTGAAAATTATTTTGCAGAATACTATTATGTGGGTTTTTTTGAGTTTTTTGAGTTTAGCTCTTGGAGAACAAGGCAGTGTGTTCACTGAGGAGCAGCACAAATACAGAAACACTACCACAAAGATTAACATGCAGAAAATTTTCCCCCTTCCTTTTTCAAATCCAAATATGGAGAAATCTTTGTAATTATAAAGTTGGCTTACACAAAGAGCCATACCAGAATACTAATGAGTCCCTGTCATGGCCAAATTAAATTAGTTGTTATTTACATTTTGAATTAACTGTTGTCCTTAATGTACATAGTAGATTCCTATCTGAAGCTTATCTTCAAAGCACTACTTAAATACTATCCCAGTTTAAATTTTCACAGTGAAACATCAAAGAATACTGGCAACATTTAGACAAAAGTCTTTCTTTGGTATAAAATGACAAAACCGGTAGTTATTGAATGTGAATCTATAATTAACTGTGATTAAGTGTTCACAGTTGGTATTTATACACAAGGATCTAGGGAACCAGTCTGTAACATTATACTTTAGATGCAGCTGTGTCAACGTAGTTTCCATGCTGCAATGGGAGAGTTGTTTACTCTGTGATGTTTTGTGCTCTCTTTTTAATCTATGTGGATTATTTAAAGTCAAAGGGTGAATGGTTTAATACTCCCACTCTGTCAGTCTAATCTCTTCTACCTGACCTACACCTGCTTACCTCGACTCTACCTGTGTGTCACTTTCCAGCTGAAGCCGCCACACCCTTTGCTACCACTGCTTATGCAACTGCCAGGGCAACCCCTCACGGTTACTGTTGTTGTTTGGCATACCGTCACATTGTTGGTCTTGCTATGTGTGCTGACGGATTGCCATCAGTTTACCTTCTTTCCCCGATTTAATCAGCTTCCCAACAATACGATTTATCACAATTTCAATGGAGCTATTATATTCCATGCTCTGCCGTTATAGTGTGCCTCAGTTAAATTCATTATCATCCCAAATCTCTTACGAATGGCATTTTGGTGCAGCTAAGCAGTTGATTAGACAATAACATTATATGAGTAACACCACACTACCCAGGAATGGATGCTTTTTTTTCTTCTGAAATGTAGTCTGATTTGCAGTCTGAATCCTAAAGTCTTACTGTTTTGTTAAATTGTTTTTACATAGAGTGATCCAGTTCCAGTACTGTCGCCTCTCAGTCACCCAGTGCTTTTTTAATGTCTCTTTTTTTTGGCCTGTTTTAAACTGTGAGCCCCACATTCATGCTTCACTGGGACAGGAGGCTAACGGGGAGGGATTTTCCTTAACTCTCAGGATATCCGATCCTCCGACCTCCTTAAGAAGACCAATGCAGTTACTCTTAACCCGCAGTAACCTGCGTGCAGATGTAATGATTCACTCTCTCCACAGCAAGTTAGAAGTAGTGTTTGACAGAAATGGGTTTTTCAGTGACTGATACCGATATTTAGAGAGCTGTGCCAATATCAAAACAAAGAAAACTCATGTATAATTCCATTATTGCATGCAGAGTACAGTCTAATGTACATGGTTATCTTTGCCAGTAATGTGTGTTTTAGATTTTTGATTATTAATGAAATACAAAAATAAATTGGGTTATGCTGCACATTTTAGAAAGTGACTGGTATTGCACATTTTGTCAGAAGTGAGGTCATTCAGCTGTATTATTCTCTACAGTATAGCCAGTAATGGTTTTAGATTAGGTTAGCTGTCATTTAGGATGGGAGAAATGTGTTAACATTTAGAAAACACGATGGTGACTGAGGGAAAATTAGGGCTCGAAACTAACATTGTTCCACAACAGCAACACTAAAAAAGGTGCCTGCAGACGTTCCTGCTGACATTTTTTCAATGTCGGCCTCATAAGTGCAGGGATCGGCCAGTGCCGATTATCTTAAAATGCCAGATAATGGCACGACATCTTCTCAGGATTTTTGAAAAACCTCTTTCTATAAATGATTGGATTCTTTGTGAACTCATCTTCCCGTTTTAGACGATCATACATGAAAATATATATTTTCACTGAGAGATTTATGTATTTGTGTTTTGATGTGGGTAAGGCTGTGTTGGAGAAAGGTGATGTCATAAATTACTATGGATCAAACATTTTGACATTATAAAAATGTGTTGGGTTATTTTCATATGTTGCTGGAGTGACGCCACTGTAAATCAAATGTGATAAATCACAGTCACTCAGTCCCGATAAAATAAGTTTTCGAGTGTTAAACTTCTGTTAATTTGTTACTGAGAAAGTATTTTTATCTGTCTTCAAATACCAATTTTTTCCCTTGTTTTCACTGCTTTCAGTCTGACAGTGAAGCCTCTTCTTTGTGCTTTGTTTTGCAGTTACTAGGAGCAGCATTCTTGGGCATTGGCCTGTGGGCATGGGCGGAGAAGGTAAGTGTAAACACATGCACGCAAACACACACTTCTGAAGTACAACACCGTTGCCTCAACAGCATAGCTAAAATTCTTTTGCATATTCCAGTGGGAGTAAGCTGAAAGAACAATTTACAGGAGAGAGTTTAGATGAAAACAGGGCTTTTAAGAGAAGTGGTGTGGAAAATAATGGCGCCATTTCTGTAACGCTTTGTAGCACTTAAAGGCATATTACCCAATACTGGTCCTGGTAAACATTTCATAGACGTCTATGGAAAAGAATTATGTTGCTGCAGCTTAAGTGTGATGTGTGACTGTTTAAGTTTTGTTGGCCCAATAATTTTTTTTTCCAATATTTGCAGAGTTTAACAAGCTAGAAATAGGCACAGCAACAAATTCAGGAGCCATAAGGCCAAAATTACAAACTCATTTGACTCATAGCCACCAGGAATTTAATGTCTTTGCCTTGTCAGAAAATGAATGGCTCAAATACGTAGAATCTGGTTACTGTTTATTGTCCACAGTACACTAACTACAAAGGTCAGGTGCTGCCATTAACCTCTAATGTGCAGTGAAACATGGCCACATTTCAAACACCTCCCGATCCAGTTAGTAGTCAATTTGTTCATTAATTATATAGAAATTGTACCAGTCGGTTCAGTAAATGCTGCACCAGCGCTGAAGCAATGTACTGATTAGTAACGTCTGGTCATGAACTCTGTGAAATAGGCCTGCACCGGAGTACCTTGGTGGAACAGCGTGAATAATTTAAAGGGATTAGGCCAAATGATGAATAGTGGGTATTGGAAAGGAATAACGGGGAGTTTGGGTCTCAGTGACTAAGATGATTAGTTTCTAGCCTGCTGCGTTCAGCCAGACTACATTGTTTCTGGGCCTCATGTTTAAATTCAAATGAAGGCACTTTATTCTGCACCAGTGCCATATGAACACAAGAATGCAGTTATGCCTCTGTCCTGTAGTTGTCCCTTAGCTTAGTGCAGTGGGAGCTTAACTTAAGCAGTAAGGGATTTCAGCTTCTCGGGCTTTAGCTGCAAGTGTTTGACATGTGTGCTGTATGTGACGAGCAAACAGGATGCCAGAACTGAGATCCGGTGCCCACATAACATTGGCAGGGATCCCTTTCAAGATGAGTGAGAAATATAGACCGAGATGTAGAGGGAGAGATCATGCGTGAACCAGAACACACATTATATTTGAACAAGCGTATGTGCTCACAAACTGCGCCTTCCTTGTGATGATGCGACCCGGTGACATTAGCTCATCTTCCAGGGGGCACCCTCTTTGGCGTCACGTTTGAGAAATGTGTCCGTGCAAGGCATGATACAAACCAGAGGCTGACTGGAAAACGTGGTGGACACACTGTGGCCTCCGGGCTATGAGGGCAGGATGTGCAGAGAGGAAGGACAGATGTCTGTTAGTGAATGTTTGCTGAAGCCTCTGAACTGTGCCTCTTCTGATAAAAGTTAATCGCTTTATGGGCTGAACATAGATCTGATAAAGATCCCCTCTGGGGGTTTGCTGTTTTATTTGGAAAGCAACATATTTGGTAGATACTATTCTAATCAAATAACATCGTTGCCTTTTAATAGATTTCTCTGTCTCTCTGAACAGGGCAGCCCTAACTGGCCTCTTGGCTGTGTCATTAGTGAAATTCTCACAATTTCTCTTTGACATCACAAGCTCCTCTTGAGGTTCTGTGTGTTTTTGTAGAGCGAGACCCTGCAGAGAAGGGAAGGATTGATTTTGGAAGTATTATAGTCAGAATTTTAACCACTCTCTTTTCTGTCTTCCTTCCCCTAAGGGCGTGCTGTCCAATCTGTCATCCATCACGGACCTTGGCGGCTTCGACCCTGTGTGGCTCTTTATTGTCGTCGGAGGGGTCATGTTCGTCCTGGGCTTTGCTGGCTGTATCGGAGCACTCAGAGAGAACACCTTTCTGCTTAAGTTTGTAAGCCAGCCCCCGGGCTTTCCGAGCACAGACACCATTTTGAGCACTTCACACCCCTTAAGGGCTGCAGTTCACACCAGAGCTGAGGCTGTCAGTGGAGCAGGTGTCACTTTGACTCACCCGAACCAAATGCTGTGGATGCTTGCATAGCACAAATATGTGTTATCTCATCACTAAACCAAGTCCTGTTTCATCAGAAGCCCTTGATCAGAAATGCTGATCTTTGCCTCATAAGCCACTGAAACATTTTCTCTGTGTCAAGTAATATTTTTTTCTACATCAGCACTTTTTACTTTTAACTTTTGATCTGCAAAAAAAGCTCAGAATTCTTCTGAAGCCCAAAGCCATGACACCGTTTTGCAAGGTGTATGTGGGTACAGCTGTATTGACAACTACATGTGGCTGACGGAGACAAACCTGCCTCGTTGCTGGCTGCGATTCTGAGTAGCTATTAACTCCAGCCGATGTCCATTAGCAGCAGAAAGTCAGGCGTCAGAGTGAGGAGCTAATGTGGCTTTTGTGCATTTATCATTAGCCCCGTCTCCTTCTACATTTACTGTAAAGGGAGGATATAACGGTACCTCTGGGACTGCGGTTTGTGTTGCCACACACTCACTCAGCAATCAAGACAGGCCCAACAATCAGACCTGCACAGGGACATTACATCAGAACTGTTGTCAATTCTTTCACAAGAAATGCCTGAAAAACTGTTATCAGTGTTCTGATCCTTTACAAAACTAGATTTTCTTGGGCACACCCAGATTGCCTGATTGAAGTGACAGATGCATTGTTTTCTGTTTGTGTGTTTATTCTGGTCTGCGTCATGTCCTTTCCAGTTTTCTGTGTTCCTGGGTTTGATCTTCTTCTTGGAGCTAACTGCGGGGATCCTTGCCTTCGTCTTTAAGGACTGGATCAAAGACCAGCTCAACTTTTTCATCAACAATAATGTCAAGGCCTACCGCGATGACATCGACCTGCAGAATCTCATTGACTTTGCCCAGGAATATGTGAGTCCACACTTACTGACTATAACTTGTGTGGCTAGATCAGTAAAACATTTCTTTTTTTTATCAAACTTCCCTATAATTCAATTCAATTCAATTCAATTCAATTCAATTCAATTCAATTTTATTTATATAGCGCCAAATCACAACAACAGTTATCTCACAGCGCTTTTCATAAAAGAGCAGGTCTAGACCGTACTCTATGATGATATTTACAGAAGCCCAACAGTTCCCACCAAGAGCAAGCACTAGGCGACAGAGGCAAGGAAAAACTTCCTTTTAAGAGGCAGAAACCTCGAGCAGAACCATGGCTCAGGGTGGGCGGCCATCTGCCTCGACCGGTTGGGGTGAGAGAGAGAGAGAGAGAGAGAAAGAGAGAGAGAAAGAGAGTGAAAGAGAGAGAGAGAGAGAAAGAGAGAGAGAGAGAGAGAGAGGGATGTAAGGAGAGAGAGGGGAGGGAGGCAGCCTACACAATATACACACAGAGGTACAGACAGCGAAGGTAATGTTGCTATAAACTAAATGAAAAATGGTACAGATATTTATAATAGTGTTAATGGTAACCATCATAATGTTAATGATTATAATAACAATAATAACAATAAGACTAGCAACAATAGTCGTTGCAGTAGAGGGTGTCGAGCAGGAACACGGGGGCAGCAGGCGACCCGCAGCCACAGATCCAGACTCCACAGCTCCAGAGCCAGAAAACCTGCAGGAAGTGATAGGAGGAGAGAGGAGAGGGACGAGAAAGCACAAGACTACCAGAAAGGGGAGAAGTTGTGTTAGTAACATGCAATAATGGGATAAGGTTGCATACAGAGGGAGAGAAAGTAGAGGAGAGAGGAGCTCAGTGCATCATGGGAAATCCCCCGGCAGTCTAGGCCTATAGCAGCATAACTAAGGGATGGTTCAGGACTACCTGAGCCAGCCCTAACTATAAGCTTTATCAAAGAGGAAAGTCTTAAGCCTACTCTTAAATGTGGAGATGGTGTCTGCCTCCTGAACCCAAACTGGAACCTGGTTCCACAGGAGAGGAGCTTGATAGCTGAACGCTCTGGCTCCTAGTCTACTTTTGGAGACTCTAGGAACCACAAGTAACCCTGCATTCTGGGAGCGCAGTGCTCTGGTGGGGTAGTAAGGTACTATGAGCTCTTTAAGATAAGATGGTGCCTGACCATTAAGAGCTTTGTAGGTAAGAAGAATGATTTTAAATTCTATTCTGGATTTTACTGGAAGCCAATGCAAAGAAGCTAAAACAGGAGAAATGTGATCTCTTTTCCTGGTTCCTGTCAGAACACGTGCTGCAGCATTCTGGATCAGCTGAAGAGTCTTAATGGACTTTTTCAAGCAGCCTGATAATAAGGAATTGCAGTAATCCAGCCTAGAAGTAACAAATGCATGGACTAGTTTTTCTGCATCATTTTTAGACAGGATGTTCCTGATTTTCGCAATATTACGTAGGTGAAAAAAGGCGGTCCTTGAAATTTGCTTAATGTGGGACTTAAACGACATGTCCTGATCAAAGATAACTCCAAGATTCCTCACAGTGGTGCTGGAGGCCAAGGCGATGCCATCCAGGGAAACTATATCTTTAGATAATGCGTCACGGAGGTGCTTAGGCCCCAGAGCAATAACTTCAGTTTTATCTGAGTTTAACATAAGAAAATTACAGCTCATCCAGGTTTTAACATCCTGAAGGCACATTTGAAGTTTAGCTAACTGATGAGTTTCATCTGGCTTGATCGATAGATATAACTGAGTATCATCTGCATAACAATGAAAGCTTATGGAATGTTTCCTGATAATATTGCCTAAAGGAAGCATATATAAAGTGAAGAGGATTGGTCCAAGGACAGATCCTTGAGGAACTCCATGAGTAACTTTGGCGTGCATGGAGGACTCATCGTTAACATGTACAAACTGAAATCGATCTGATAAATAGGACTTAAACCAGCTTAGAGCGGTTCCTTTAATGCCAATGAAATATTCCAGTCTCTGCAATAGGATCTGATGGTCAATGGTATCAAATGCAGCACTAAGATCTAATAAAACCAGTACAGAGACAAGTCCTTTGTCTGATGCAATAAGGAGGTCATTAGTAATTTTCACCAGTGCTGTCTCTGTGCTATGATGAGCTCTAAATCCTGACTGAAAATCCTCAAATAAACTATTGCTCTGTAGAAAGTCACACAGCTGTTTAGCAACTGCTTTCTCCAGAACCTTAGAGAGAAATGGAAGGTTAGATATAGGTCTATAGTTTGATAAAACATCCGGATCAAGTTTGGGCTTTTTCAGAAGAGGTTTAATTACAGCTACTTTAAAGTACTGTGGTACATAGCCTGTTGATAAAGATAGATTGATCATATCTAATATAGAGGTGCTGACTAAGGGTAAAACATCTTTAAGCAGCCTAGTCGGGATGGGGTCTAAGAGGCAGGTTGATGGTTTAGATGAAGAAATTATTGAAGTTAGTTGGTAAAGATTGAGGGAAGCAAAACAGTCTAAACATGTATCTGGTTCTACAGCTGTTTCAAAGGTTCCTGAGTTAAGAGATAAGTCGGTGCCAATTGAGGGCAGGTCTTGGTGAATTTTGTCTCTAATAGCTAGAATTTTATCATTAAAGAAGCTCATGAAATCGTAACTACTGAGAGCTATGGGAATACTTGGCTCAATAGAGCTGTGACTCTCTGTCAGCCTGGCTACAGTGCTGAAAAGAAACCTGGGGTTGTTCCTATTTTCCTCTATTAATGACGAGTAGTACGCTGCTCTGGCATTACGGAGGGCCTTCCTATAAGTTTTAAGACTATCTTGCCAAATTAAACGAGAATTTTCCACTTTGGTGGAACGCCAATTCCTCTCAAGTTTCTGTGATATTTGCTTTAATTTGCGAGTTTCAGTATTATACCATGGAGCTAACCGTCTTTGTTTTAGTATTTTCTTTTTTAGAGGGGCAACAGAGTCGAGTGTCATTCGCAGCGAGCCTGCAGCACTATCAACAAGATGATCGATTTGGGAGGGACTGAAATTAGCATAGGAGTCCTCCGTTACTTTGTGACTAGATAATGTATTTAGAGCTGATGGAATCGCATCCTTAAATTTAGCTATAGCACTATCAGACAGACATCTTGTATAGAAATTTTTGCCCAATGGCGAGTAGTTCAGCAATACAAACTCAAAAGTTATCAAACAGTGGTCGGATAAAGAGGGATTCTGTGGGAACACCACTAAATGTTCAATTTCAATACCATACACCAAAACAAGGTCGAGGGTGTGGTTAAAACAGTGAGTCGGTTCATGAACACTCTGAGAGAAGCCGATGGAATCTAACAAAGAGATAAACGCAGTACTGAAGCTGTCATTCTCAACATCTACATGAATATTAAAATCCCCTACAATAATAACTTTGTCCGTTTTTAAGGACTAAAGTTGACAAAAACTCTGCAAATTCAGATAAGAATTCAGAATACGGGCCAGGTGCTCGGTACACTATAACAAAAAGAATTGGTTGCAGTGATTTCCAACTTGGGTGCGAAAGACTAAGAACAAGACTTTCAAATGAGTTATAGTTTAGTTTAGGTTTAGAGCTGATTAATAGGCTAGAGTCGAAGATAGCTGCAACTCCACCTCCTCTGCCTGTGCCTCGAGGAATGTGAGTATTAATATGACTGGGAGGGGTGGATTCATTTAGGCTAACATATTCTCCATCACCCAGCCAGGTTTCAGTAAGACCAAATAAATCAATATCATAATCTGATATTAGTTCATTTACTAGTACACCTTTAGAAGAGAGAGATCTGATGTTTAAGAGTCCACATTTAACTCTCCTATTCGTTTGCACTATTGCTCTTGTGGTTTAATTTTTATAAGGTTTTTATGCACAGCTCCTCTTCTGTTTACCTATAACAGCTCATGTTTCTAGAGAAGTCACCCCCTTCTCTAGAAATGTTGTTTATATCAGTTCTGGGCAGGGAGCAGAATGAGTCAGTCAATTGTGGAGTAAATCTCATGATTAATGTGATTGTATTTCCCTCAAATGATTATCCAATTATATGAATGAAACAGTTTAGATTATAAAGTTCCCATGTGTAAACACTGGGCTCTGTCATGACGCACTGTAAAGGCGATTAGATCCGCTGTTTGTGCCTCACTATCCGTAGTCGGTACCCACCCAAGCTGACCTGAGCCAGACTCTAAGGAGCTGTTTCAAGACCAAATCAGAGAAAATAAATCTGTTTGTTAACAGCCTGTTGTTGTTGCTGTCACAGTGGTCATGCTGTGGAGCTCACGGACCCGACGACTGGAACCTGAACATCTATTTCAACTGCACTGATCTGAACCCCAGTAGGGAGCGCTGCGGAGTTCCCTTCTCCTGCTGTGTCAAAGACCCTGCAGTGAGTCATTCAACAGTAATAATACGTGGTTAATAGGGCATGATTACATCATACAGTACATCATAGAAATGATTCATGATCGAGTATAGAGCTATAATGAGTAGTTGATCAACTGAAAATGATGAATATTTGCTGATTTCAACTACTTAAATGTGTGGATTTGATGCTTTTTTGTCCTATATGATAATAAACTGGATATGTTTTGGTTATGGACTGTTGGTCAGACAAAACATTTAAAGTCATCACCTTGCACTCTGAATAAATTCATATTTTTCACTATTTTCTGTTTTAATTGAGAATGAAAATAATAGTTGCAGTATTCCTTCTAGCATTTAAATTTATTGTGAGCACTTGTAGAGTTGATTATTGTTGATTATCGATTATCGTTGAGATGCTCTCTCCAAAGCAGTCAGTTCTTCAGTTAGAGTTATTTCTTCTCTCGTCATTCAACGTCTCGTACACTGTGACCAGTAGCTGCAATGGAAGGGAAATCACATTTTTGGTTTTTGTTCTTACAGGAGGATGTGATCAACACACAGTGTGGTTATGATGTTCGACTTCAAGGGGTTTGTATTTCTACACGTCTCTGCCACCTCTGTAGATCTCTCTATGTACTTCACCTTATATTTTGTTTTTACATCACTCTCCAGTTATTCTCTTTTCAGGACCTAGCTCTATAAAAATGAATATTGTGCTTTATATTTTTCAAATAAATCGAGCTAATTTAAAAGTCTCCTAAAGTTAGAGCAGTTTAACAGAACGCATTCACAGTTCAGTCAGTGGCTCTAGTGGAGCATGATTGACAGGCAGTGCCAGCCTTTCTAGTTAAAATGACGCAAAGCTGCTGAGTGGAATTACTCTTGAGGACAAGTTGATTGACAAGCAGCAAACCTGTTGAAAAGAGCTAAGCAGTGGTTGAGGTTGGAGTGGAAATCAGGTTCATTTGTATTGGGCTTGATAGCATGTCTCAAACACTCAGTAAAAATGGATTAGTGGTTGATATAAATTAACTTTGAATGGTTTTATAGCATCTTTACTTAATATTCTTGAGGAGAAAGATGTAGAAAAGTTTTTGGGGTTTTTTTTACGCGCACACACAACAATAATGTGTATTTAGCAACACAGCAATAGTGTATAGGGTTAAGTAGCACGTTGGCTCCTCTGCATGCTTTTTTCCTTAATAACAGATTGTTCTTCTAACGGGGATAATTAGGCTCCAGTTATAGCCTAGAGAGCAGCCTTACTACACTCTGTAATTGGCGACTCAGTGGGTTATGCCAGTCCATTCCCTTTTCCTCTGTGTGTGGGTGTGGTGGTTACAACTCACTGCAGTGCAGTCAGAAAGATGGCTGTTGCTAGGCTCACTGCAATACAGTGACGACCTGCCGCTGAGTTGATATGAATTAAATTTTCTCTGTGTGCTCTTCTCCTGAAGCCCTGGCCGTTGACATTTTGCTGAAACTATGTGCAGTCAGTTCCTGTGCACCTTGTTTGTAGAGTGCAGACCGGGAAAGAGGAAGAGCAGTAGACATGGGGAGGACAGGCAGAGGGCTGAAATAGCTTCAGAGGAAGTTCACAGCCAGAACAACATAGTGTTTCCTGCCTTATTACTGGCTGCCAAGGGGCTCCCTCTACCTCCCTTTGGTTGAAATCTAGCTTTCAGGTTTTGCAGGAGAACAAAAGGTTTGCCTGGCTGACTTATCTTGAACAGTAACAAAGAAAGCATTGTATGTAGTCCTGTTCACGCCCATGTTTACCTCCCATTTTAGGGCCTTTACAGCTTTAAATTACACCTTTTTATTTCCATCACTTCATCACAGATGAAGTGTACATCATCGGCTGAATCTGACAACACAAACAGCCATCTCTCCGGTAACAGGAAACAGCTTCTGCCTATTCGTTCAGTCCTGACAGGGTCCCCAGAGAAACTGAATACACTGCTGTGATATCCTCCATGATGTCCAGACACTGACACGTTGTAATCCAAGAGTGACTCAGCCGTCACTCACTCCTCATGCCCTCCTCAGCGGTGAAGGAGTCTGTGAGCAGAATGCTATGTGGTGTTTGTTTTGTCTCACTTTAGTCGCAGGTCAGAGTTCAGATGTCCTCAAAACAATTTATTCAATATTCATTTTAACTTAATCTGTTTTTGTTTTTAAAAAGGAGCTGGACCGGCAGAAATACATTTATACCAAGGGCTGTGTGGGACAGTTTGAGAAGTGGCTTCAGGACAACCTGATTATTGTAGCTGGTATCTTTGTTGGCATTGCACTTTTACAGGTAAGAACTCCCTGCTGCAAACTATTTATTTTATTGCAAACATTTACCTAAAGAGACCTGGTGCATTTGAAATTAGGTGTTCGCCTAAGACTAACAATATGTCTTGGTTCTGATATTGTTTTATCACTGCCATCTAGTGGTGACAGCAGGTAGCATAGAGCAAACCCCTGCAATACAGCATTCTGTTCTCTCTCTCTCTTTTTTTTAACTAATATACTGCATTTTGATACTTGACCTAATGTCCTGTGTGGTTTCCTCCTCAGATTTTTGGGATCTGCCTTGCTCAAAACCTGGTGAGTGATGTCAAAGCTGTCAAAGCCAACTGGTGACGGTGACTGGTGGTGAGTGCAGGTGAAGTGAGGGAGCCCCGCCCCTCAGGCGCAGCCCAGTCGCAACACAGCACACGAACCGTAGAGCCAAGAACGTTCTGTCTACTTTGCCACTGAGCTAAGCAGCACACACGCACTCTCACACTTGTATACGTGCAGACACAAAGAGTTTACCTCCCTGTTTATCAGTGACACTTGAAGAGGAAGAAGAATATCTCACACAAACCAAACAGTCATCACTTTGTCTACCACTCAGCTGGGATTTTAACCCAAATATACAGAGGACGGTCTTGCCTGGTTCAAAGTTAGATTTTTCTTCCGATTTTGTTCTTCAGACGAGTGTATTTATGGGGTACAGTTGCACAAGGACCCCTCTCTACTGGGAGATTGGAAGCCATGATGAAAGCAGGAGACAAACAAAAACAAAGGAAATGGAACAAAGAGTCTGCTTCTTTATTTTTTTTTTTGTTACATTGTCACAGAGCCTCTGTCCACTCAGTGAGGGGCTGAACATCTCCAACAAACAAGGCTGTTTTTAACATGCTTATCCCCACTTCCTGCTGCAGGGATGCGGATGGCTGGCCAGCTGGCCAACAAACACATGAATTCTTCTGGGTGTCCTTTTTCTCCATCGTGACCTTTAATGACCACTGAAAATACTCTGAACACTGTCTGGTCAAGTCTGCAACTTCAGATCATTTCAGGCGATCTCACCTCAAAATGTAAAAAGTGCCATTAATTTCCTCTGTGTCTCCTTCCTGTTCTTTACATGGACTTTCTGCACCCCACCCCACAATACCTCAGGGCCTGGCCGAAAATATATGCTTTCTGCCACTGGTTAAAAGCATATCTATTTTTCTCCATCCATGTTTGTTGAATTTAGATTTAACGCAGAAAAACACTGACAGTTCCTTGAAAGTTGCCCTGTTCGCCCTGCGGTGATTGTATTATCCATTGATTTACTGAAGGATATTGTATTATATATTCTATAGAATCGCCTGGTGTGGTTAGGATTGTAGGTCTATGCTAAACAGGGAAAAGGTTTAAATGATAGTTGAGATTGATGTTTATCTCTGAGCATCCCTCAGGCACATGGGATTGCTGGTTTGGGGCCTTTTTACTTGATGTTATGTTACCACATTTGTCTTATATTTTGTTCGCTGCAAATTGAAATAAGAACATATGTCTCTTTACTTCCTGTCCTTTCATATACACAGATTTTGATTCTGGGTTCATTGTGGGTACCTGTTTTACCTCTGAACCATCAGTCAACTGCTTCTTATTATTGATGTTGTAGACCAAATAATATCAGCTGGCTACAAGCTAACTGCCAAGGTTTTGTCTCACTACAATTCTGATTTTGTTGGAAATGCCAAGAGTAAGAAAAAACATTTCTTGATAGCCAAAATGTGAATTTATTGTCCCTTTTTGTTTGGGAATTGCCAGCTGAAATGAGAAATCAAACAAAAATTTAAAATGTTACAGTATCACTTTTATCTTTTAGTTCAATGTTGTGTCTTTTGTTTGGACTGGATTTTAAATAGAGTGTAAATACAAGCTGTTACCTTTTGATATTAGCAACAGCCTCAATATAACATGAATGCTGCTTTAACTTTGACTATTAATATGTAGTACAGTAACCAAGCTAACAGCAAGTGTCACATGATGGCATTTGAACAATTTGCCATGTTATACTTTCCAGACTGAGGGAATATTCTGATTATTTCTCCCAAGTTTACACTACTCCAATTATGTTGCCCTTTGTGTTGTTCATTATGGGGGGGGAAAAACCCCTCTTGGATCACATTATAGGTTGCCCTCACAGCTTTTCGTCGTGTCCATGATCCTCACAGAATGTAGTTTCTGATATGACTGGGTTCACTTGATCATGTTGTACATTTTTGTCTGCATTTAACCACTACAGTTGTTTCTGGTTGTAGCAGTATCATTCAGATACACTGCACAGGCAGGATTTGGGTGGGATTTACTCAACCACGCACACACAGCTCCATATACATACACACGTACACACAAAAGCATGTTTGGAATTGCAACGCACAGAAGTTGAAAGATGAGTAGCATTAATATTCTGCGCCGAAACTTTTCCTGCTTCAGAGTCTGTCTGTAGAATATGAAAAAAAAAAAAAAAAATATATATATATATATATATATATATATATATGAGCTCATTCAGTAACGGCCCCTTATCATCGCCTGCTGTGCGTACATGTCACATGTTGCTTTGGCAAGCACTCTTCAAAACACTACCTGATCTGACTGCACCTGTTTCAGAGCCTGTCATTTTGAAGTATTTTTAAACACTGTGCTCATTCTGTAGGAGGGTAAAATAGAGAAAACATGAGACAGAACAACAGTCATTTGACAAGGATGGATCCAGTGGGGCACAATGCATCTGTACAGGGGTGACAGAGTGGTAATGACTTCTCTCAGTTGAAATTAATGAGTTTCTATAGGAGGAGCTTATTCACAGCAGCGCTTTAGGTGTAATCAGTGAGTTAATCTGAGAGAGTTTTTTTCCCTCCCTTCAGTTGCCATGTTTGCCTGATATCTGACATGATTTCCTCTCTTCTTTTTGTAATATTTTTACCCTGTTATTCTAAACATGTGTGGGCCTCTTTGATTCCATGTAAATCAATTGGTCTCACTCGAGTCTAGAAGATCAGGATGGAACCAGTGTTTTCTTTCCCCTCCACACCTTAATGTAGTTTAATCTTTTGAAAAGTGGGTTGAAGCAGATAATGTGTGATTCATTAGTTCAGCAAACCTTTTGAAGTATTTTCATTGTTTTTTTTTCTTAAATTGCTCTTAATTGGAAGTGTTTGCTCAGGGTCTTAAACACCCCTTCCTCTCATACAAAAAACCCAAAACAAACAAACCCTCTTTGCTTATGCATGCGAGAAGATTCTGCGTTGTATGTGATAAAATGGAGGGCCCGCTGCCTTTTGAGTGATGCTGAGGATCTGGCTGAAGGCAGATGGAGGCCATGGGTGTCAGTTCTGCTGCAGTACAGAGCTGCAGCTCTTAAACAAAAATCTCTCTCTCTCTCTCTCTCTGTCTGTCTGTCTGTCTGTCTGTCTGTCTCTCTGTCTGTCTGTCTGTCTCTCTGTCTGTCTCTCTGTCTGTCTGTCTGTGTCTCTCTCTGTGCGCAGCCACCGCGCCATGTCTGGATGGATATGCCAATAATCAGACAGTCACCTTGGTAATAAGGACAATAATTCCATGATTATCGGCCGTAGCAGTGTGGCAGGACTTTAATATGCAGACTCTGCAAAGGTGACTTACTGGAGTATGTTTGTTTTAACAGCTTTTGGGTAATTCTGCCTTTGTATTCCTTTAATGTCGGGGAAAGGGGGAGGGAGAAATGATGCTAATTATGCTTTGTCCTTTATCATAATGGCCTTGCATCATGAAACACCCTCTTAATTTCTCTGCTTTCCCTGTGGGCAGTTAAATCATTCCCGAGGAGGAGCCTTATGCATACCATGAATGTATAAGTCTGTATCAGCATGGACCTGCGTGCTCCACGCTCTGTTAGAAATTCTTGTTACCCTTATGCAGCACAATGCACAAGACAGATGAAGTTTGGGAATGTGAAATAAAGATGTTTAAATGTTGTTTTTACATTTTAAAATTTGTTTTAACATGCATTAAAGTAGATTATCATTCCGTTTGTTCTGTTCCCGGGCGTGTGTGCGGACTTATGTGGGGATTTTATATGCAATCACAAAGCATTTTAATCATCAGAAACTACCAGTTAATCTTAATCTCTCTTCAGTAGCTGTACACAGTGTGGAGGATTTCTAAATATCATTAAAATCACCACTTTCGTCCAGGTTTTGATAATCCAGTCTTGATATGAAACTTCTTTTGCTACATGTGAGTTTCTGAATGATTAGACTGAACTTTTAAATATATTTCCTTCATGCATATAATAAAAAGTGACTGTCATTGTGGCTCTGATAATCTGTCATGTGATCCTCTGCCAGCTATAAAGTCTGCTAATGTCTTGAGGCATTTGTGTTTATATTTCTTACAAAGATGAGTAGCACATCAGACGTTTTTCAAGTCTTACCTCATCGTGTGCAGACGCCAGTCACATCAGAGCACAGAAAAGCAGCGTAATTTACTTTTTTGTGTGCATATTAACAGCAATATCACAGTTGTTAGTACTGACATTTCCATACGAGGTCATGGCATTTGATCAAGACACAAGCGTGGGCTGACTGTAATGGAAAGGCGTTTTAAGTTGTTTTTTACAGATTAGCTCACAGTTGAAGAATATGAATACAGTAGTTAATGATCTTTTAGCCACACAGAAACCACTATAAATATCTGTTTAATCAGCTGGCCAACAAAAACCTTTCTTCTCAGTTTTACTAACAGTCCGCTCGGATGGGAAGCCTTGTAAGGAAATGTATATGAAAACTGTGGGACATGGTCTGTTACACTGTATATTGTGTTAAAATATGCCTCTTTCATATATTAAATGCTTTATGAAAACAGCAGTGTTTTCTTTTTTTTTTTAACTCAAGCATACTCAGGTGCTGTATTTATAGTTTTGACATAGTTTTACTTTAATATTTACCACTACGGAATGTGTGCTTCTACTATTCTACATTGCATAGGGAAATATTGTACTACACATACTATATATATATACTATATTTGACATTTGAACTTACTGATTATTTTGCAGATAAAGATTTTACATAAAATATGATTTGTTACTGGCCATTAATTAACAAAGCAATACATAAAGTAATAGTAATAATCCAATAATGTTATGTAAGAATGAGTACTTTGACTTTTGATACTTTAAGTACATTTTGATGATAATAGTTCTGTACTTTTATATTTTACATGAAGGACTTTTACTTCTTAGAGACTATTTTATACTGTGATACTGTGACTTTCACTAAGAATCTGAATACTTAATTAATCTAGTAATAGAAGATAATAACAATATGAATTACTTACTAATAATTACTCTGAATACTTCCACCACTGAACTCTGAGGAAAGAGGTCCAGCAACTATGAAAGAAATAAGGAACGAATGTAATTGTCGTAGTTAAACTGGAATGTTGTTTTTAAGGGTTTGTGTAATTAGAAGATGCTTGAATTTGTAATATGATGGATGATTCAGCCAATAGAGGGAGACAAATAGTGGCTGAGTTCATACACTGACACACTTATGCTGTGACTTATCATATTTGAATCGCGTAAGGCCGTGGAAATGCAATGCAAAAACTGCTGATAGAAAAACAGAGATATAATAATCAAAGCAGACAGCTAAAGCATGTGTGTTATATTCTTGCCATTGGTTGCGTTTGGAGAGCACCTAGAAGCTAAACAAACCCATTCACTTACCTGATATTACAGCTCTACCTTGATGTCAAGATCAAAGAGAATACATCCTCAGCAAAATTAATCAATCAACTTCAGAGACATTTTCTTTTGCCATGCATCTCGGAGACAAAACACTCCAGCAGGATGCTGAAAGAGGAGCCATTTCCCTTGACAATGAACCAAATGACTAAATGGACACAAGCTTCAGTGCTCTTATGGCCTTTATGTTACAGTTTCTGGCTGCAGGGAACAGCAGCGAATGATCATTTGTAAACCTAGCCAGCCTTCAAAAGACATAAATTTAGTGTTATACCTGTTTGACAATCAGCTTCCACACATCCGCACAGTATCATCATCATTCAAAACCAGATTGTTTAATTTAAGGATGCAGTTCAGTGACATCACTGCTAGATACTGTTATTAGTTTGAGTTCTATTTTTTTCCCTGTGTGTTTCTGGTTTTGGCCATTGTTTCATGTGTCTTTCTATTTGCCTGTTTCTCTCGTTCTTTGTCCTTAGTTATTTATGTCTTGTCTCTTATCTTAGGTCTTAGTCCTGCATTTTAGTTGTCCAGTGGCTTAGTTCTTAGTTCTGTGCTTTAGTTCATGTTTGTGTTACTCCTGGTCTGTGTACTTCTATAATATTTTGGCCATGTTTGCTCTGTGTTCTGTTTAATCTTAGTTCAGTCTGTTTTCCCTGTTAGTGGTAGTTTATTGTTATATTTGTGATCTGTCTGCTTACGGATCACTTGTTTATATTATTCTGTTTCTTCCTTGTTATTAGTTTCCCTATGGCCATATCGGTGTCTGTCTGTTTTCCCCTGCTGTCTCTCTGCCTGCCTGTGTCTCACTAGTCCTGATCCCCCTCACCTGTGTTGCTCCCGCCCCGCTCGTTAGTCCCTGTGTATATATGCCTGCTTGTGTCTTCAGTCTTGGTCACGTCCTTGTCGTCTGATGTTGAGTGCTTTGCGTTGTTCCTAGTTCTTTGTTCAGTGTTTTGGATTACCCCGTTTACCTTGGATTACCTTTCTTTTGGATTTACTTTGGATTAGACTTTGCCTTGAGCTTTATGGAATCCTGTGCAGTTACGTTTAGTTTAAATAAATATTTTTGTTGAACTGAATCCTCCTGCCGGTGTCTGCGTTTGGGTCCACACCCTACCTCCTGCCACTGCACTCAACTACCCAGTTACACACTCCATTCCCTTTATAAGTGAAGTTTATAAATGTCATCTCTAGATTATATTGTAGATCTGCCTGGACTCACCAGACACGGCTGCCTCTTTACTTCAACTCTTTGCTTCAAGTTGTTGGGAGAGCACTTATAATGCTAATGCATCTGACCTCCAGACCTTAACCTACATACAGTAGATGTCGTTCCAAATGTTACGCTGGTGCTTTGACATTTCCATGTACTTCACTGTACAGATGGTTGGAGCTCCAGCAAAGTCATGAGTTATGCCTGAATCCATATGCTGGTAGTTTGTGGATTGGTGAATCAGAGGCTCATATGTGTGTAAAGGGTCTCTCTCTGTGTTGAAGGTGTAACCTAAAGCATTGTTTTATTTAATTGATAATCTAATCTGTTTAGCGGTTGACTGAGCAGGTTGATGCACAGTCCCCTCCAAAAGTATTGGAACGATACAAATTCCTTTTTTTGTTGTTTACTGAAGACATTTGGGTTGTCTTCAGTGATGAGAATGAGAAAGATGAGTATGAGGCAAGAGTTCAGAATTTCAGCTCTCATTTAGTGGTATTCACATCTAGATGTGTTAAACAACTCAGGACATACCACCCTTTGTTTGAACCCACCCATATTTCAAGTGAGCAAAACTATTGGAACATGTGACTGACAGATGTTTTTTGTTGCCCAGGTGTTGCCTTTTAGGGTGATTGTTCAAACATTAAATAGCTCTGCATGACAAGTTTTCATCCAAACCTATAAAGACTGCATTTCCTGTTAAAGAGGATAAACCAACATGAAGACCAGAGAGCTGTCTATGGGAGAAAAGCAAGCTGAGCATTGTCAAGCTGAGAAAAGATGGAAAATCGAGCAGAGCCATTGGACAAACATTGGGCATAGCAAGCACAGCAATTTGGACTGTCCTGAAAAACAAAGAAACTGCTGGTGTGCTGAGCAACAGACGTCGGCCAAGGATGACAGAAATATCGTGAGAGCTGTGAAGAAACCCCCCAAAACATCAGTAAGTGACATCACCAACGACCTCCATGGTGCAGGAGTGAAGGTATCACAATCCACTGTTCAGAGCAGAAATATAGAGGCCACACCACAAGATGCAAACCACTCATCAGCAGGAAGAATCGGAAGGCCAGATTGAAATTTGCAAAGAAAAACCGAGATGAGCTGCAAAAGTTCTGGAACAAAATCTTATGGACTGAAAATGGACCAAAATTAATATCTACCAAAGTGATGGAAAGGCCAAAGTGTGGAGGACGAAAGGAACTGCTTGTGATCCGAAGCGTACAAGCTCATCTGTGAAGCATGGTGGAGGTAATGTCATGGCTTGGGCGTGCAAGGCTGCTTCTGGAACAGGTTCATTAATATTTACTGATGATCTAACTGATTATGGTAGCAGCAGAATGAATTCAGAAGTGGACAGAAACATTTTGTCTGACAATTTACGGAGAAATGCATTGAAACTAATCAGGAGGAAGTTCATCATGCAGCAGGACAATGAGCCAAAGCACACTGCCAACAAAACAAAGGACTTCATCAGGGGAAAAAGTGGAAGGTTTTAGACTGGCCAAGTCAATTCATCATCAATGCATTTCACGTCCTTAAGAGGAGACTGAAGGGAGAAACACCCCGAAACAAACACGGACTGAAAGAAGCTGCGGTAAAAGCCTGAAATAGCATCACAAATGAAGAATGCAACAGTTTGGTGATGTTGATGGTTCGCAGGCTTGAGGCAGTTACTCCACGCAAGGGTTATGTCACCAAATTATAAATGTTATTTACTCTAAGATTATTTGTTCCATTACTTTTGTTCACCTGTGGTCTAATACAAATGGTGATATGTCCTAAGTAGTTTAACACATCTAGATGTGAATACCAGGAAATAAAAGCTGAAATTCTGAACTCTTGTCTCATACTCATCTTTTGATCTTAAACACAAATGTCTTCAGTGAACAACAAAAACAAAGGAATTTGCCTTACCGTTGCAATACTTTTGGCGTGGACTGTATAAACAGAGTGTCAGCAAATACTGATCATTGCCATAAAAGAATTTGTAGTTTTTAACTAATTGTCAAATGTGCTCCTGTTTTTTTTTTTTTTTAAATAGCTGTTTCTTCTCGAGACACTTAAACAGAAATAGTACCAAGGACCCAACCCCAACCTAGCTGGTCAAAGTAAAAGTTTCAAGCTTTCTAGGATGGAAATAAAGCCAAGATGGGCTGAAAAGTGTTCAAGGCGATGTACTACAACATACTGTATAGTTCAATATATGCATGCATTTATAGTATTAAATATATAATCCCACAAACAGCATTTAAACGCAGCCAGAGATGGGGAAAAATACACCAAAATTTAATACTTATATTTTAAGTGTATCAAAATAAACTACAAAATACAAAAGCCACACTATGTATCAAAAAATTATTTGAGCAGTCCCTTCACCAGTACACTGCCTCAGCTGATTAAGTGGACATTGTTTGAGAGCAGCAGCTTTTCTCATGCGATATTCAACCAGTTAACAGATATTTTACATATGCCCGTGATCACCCATATGAAGGTTAGTTTTAAAGTAAACAACAGTTTAATGGTTAACTTAACTTAATGCACAACCAATAAAACCTTAACATAGGCTGGAAGTAGCAAACTAATTTTAACTGTGAGGGCTGCTACTCAGGTAAAACTATTAGCTAGGACATTATGTAAATTGGTTAATGATTTAGCCTAGCCTACTAAAACAAGCACCAAAACTTAACTAAACTTTAGCAATTTATGCTAAAGTTGGCGTGGTGATGGTGCAGTGGGTAAGATGCATGCCATTGTTGTGGGAGACAGGGGTTCAACTTCCCACTGTGACACATCCACCAATGTGTCCCTGAGTAAGACACTTAACTCCTAGTTGCTCTAGAGGTGTGAGACCTTTGACATATAGCAATTGTAAGTTGCTTTGGATAAAAGCCTCA